TAACGCGTGTAGTCGTCAACAACCAGCAGGAAGTAGCGCTCGCGGCCCTGTCCACTGACGCGGGCTGGGCCCCACACGTCCATGTGGAGAGTCTGCAGGGGAGCAGTCGTCGGGGGAAACAAGGAGGAGTGAGGATCGGCGCGCCGCCGCCCCTCGACACAAGGAAGGCACGTCGCGGCAGGCGAGGGCGGGAGGGGAGGCAGAGACCTGGGAAGACCAAAAACAAGGTGGCGGGAGTGCATGCCATGAAGGCGTGGCAGGGAGGGGTGACCAAGGCGGTGGTGCCACAGGAGAGTCTGGTGCGACAGGAGGCGACACGAGCAGGGGGCTGCTACCGGACCTTACGCGGATACCTGAGCAGACTCACCTACCTGTGGAGGCTTAGTAGTCAGTGTGTACAGACTCGACCCAGGCCGACGAGTGAACGTGGCCAGGTGATGGCCTGTCCATGTACATGTGAGGATCGACATACGCTGACCCCCAAGAGTGGTGGTAGTTACCATCGCATCCTGGAGGGCAGCGGTACTCACCAAGTTCGTGGAGAACGAGAGGAGGTGAAGACCTGACAGTGAGCCGGATGGAACTGCTGGACATGGGAGGACAGTGGAGGAACGGGCAAGAACTGGGCCCCCTGACGGGTCAGCCAGTCTAACTGGAAGAGGTGAAGGGAGTGGAGTGAGGGTGGTACTGTCGCGAAAGAAACAGCGGGAAGCACCTTAGTCAAGCGTGAAGGTGTGCAAGGCCTAAGCAGGCGCAGTACTAGAGAGAGCAAGCTCACTAGCACCTAGAGCAGCAGCCTCTATACCTGGGTCGGGCGGCACACACAGGTAAGAGTCACCTTCAGCACTAACAGACAAGGCATACATGGCAGCAAGGATAGCATCATAGTCAAGAGCAGCACCTATAGAAACTACGCTAGTCTCAGCTGCATGGAGGTGCTTCTCGAGCAGGTCGACAGTGAGGTCTGTGGGGTCAAGTGCGAGAAAGTGGTCCCTGACAGCGCGAAGAGAGTCAGGGAGGCGGGTGACTATGAAGTAGAGAGTGATGTACATCGGGGGCGGGTTCCTGTCTAGGAACTCGGCTGGGAGGGCAACGCGGTAGCGAGCGTCGCTAGTGCGGAGGTGTGTAACGAGGTCCTCGACTGTGGCAAAGGCTGACAGCTCGGGAAACAGGTAGGGCAGTATAAGGCAGTCGAGGGCAGTAGTGGCAGGGGAAGATTAACGAGTGACTACAGTGTCGTACAGGGCTTTGGCAGTCTTGTGCTGGCCAAAGTGAGCGCGTTCGGCTAACGGCATGTGGTTGCAAACGGCTAAGCGAGCAGCAGCGTCACAGGTAAGCCACTGTGAGCGAGTCGCACTGTCACCTGTGGCGGGAGGGGCGAGAGAGGCTCCAGACGTGTGGTCAAACAACGAAACGCTGTCTCTAGAATTGCTCAGTAGGTACACCTGTAAGTCGTCGAGCCACGTATCGAACTAGATCGGACGCCCCTCATGATCGAAGGTGAGTACACTGAGAGAAGCCATAGCGGGCAGAGCAGGGTGGCGTGCGACCAGCAGGGCGGCACGCAGGCAGGGCGGCGCGCGAGCACTAGAGCACTAGAGAAGCACGCAGGGAAGGGCAGGGTGGTGCTACTGCCAACAGAGCGGGGCGCGGGCAGCAGGGCGGTGCGCGGGCAGCAGGGCGTCGGCCAGCAGGCCAGCGCACAGCAGGGCGGGCAGCAGCAGGGCGGCGCGGGCAGGGCGGTGCGGGCAGCGGTGCGGCTGCCAGCAGGGTGGCATGAGGGCAGCAGGGCGCCGGCCAGCAGGGCTGCGCGCAGCAGGGCAGGCAGCAGCCGGGCGGCGCGCAGCACGGCTGTGCATGCAGCAGGGCGCCGGCCAGCAGGGCTGCGCGCAGCAGGGCAGGCAGCAGCAGGGCGGTGCGCGAGTGCAAAGGGCGGCACGCGGGCTGCAAGGGGCGGCTCGCGGGCTGCAAAGGGCGGCGCAACGGGCTGCAAAAGGGCGGTGCGCGGGCTGCAAAGGGTGGCGTGGCGGCCAGCAGGGCGGCACGCGGGCAAGGCAGGGCGGGCAGCAGAAGGGCGGCGCGCGGGCTGCAAATGGCGGCGCGCGGGCTGCAAAGGGAGGCACGGCCGTCTGCAAAGGGCGGCGCGCGGGCTGCAAAGGGCGGCGCGGCGGCCAGCAGGCCGGCGCGATAGGCAGGGCAGGGCGGGGCAGGGCAGCGCGACTAGTGGGGCAGCACTATTCGGTGGGCCCTTAAGGAAACAGTCTTGGAACAGGACCTGCTCTGAAACCATGTCAGAAAACTGAACGAGAATGAATGGACTATGAATGAGTTGGGTACAAGTGCTAACCCTAATTGGGTTGTACCCCTTATGGGCTACCCCACTACAGCCTAAACAATGTAAGCATTATAACTTTTTGACACCATCATGCTGTCAACTGAGCGGCTACGTGATCAGGGTGAGCATGATGTGGCTGTAAAAAAAATATCTTGAATGTTCTAGTGTGAGCGGACGATTTGCTTGATTGCGGGAAGGTCGCCGTTTTATGAACCTTTCGGAACAGGAGCGCTGCGCAGTGCCACGTCACCCCACTCATTGTGTCGCACACTTCACCAAGCAACGGAAAGAAAGAAATATAAAGTAGGGTTAAGCCGAAATATTAGTGTTTGAGGCGAGTCTGACAAGAGGCCAGCCTGACTAGAGGCCGTAGGAACATGCCCTTAACTTCTGAAAAAAAAAACCCTGGACAATCAGTGTACCAATTTTTCCAACTCTGAATGTCCTCTCTGTTAACGGGAATGAAGTGTTGGCCCCGCCCTCGCTTGGGCAACGCCGACGACTTGGTCGGATGTACGGGCCGACCATCCACAGTGGGAGAGCTGCTCGACAGACTTCGTCGAGCTGCAGGGGACCGCTGTGGTGTTGCTGTCGACCAGGGAGCTCGACAGCTGTAACTGACTGGTCTGGGCGACGGGTGGACCGTCGACCAGGAGGGGCAGTTCGACCGAGAGGTCGACGGAGCAGTCCGTCGACCTGAGAAGCGAGCAGTCGTCGACGAGGGGAGCCCGTCGACAACAGCTGACAGTTCTGGTCGACGGAAGGGGTCCGCCGACCAGGGGGTAGCTCGACGGGAACTGTGGTCGACCAGAGGGACCCGGTGGTCGACCAGAGGCACTTGGTGGTCGACCAGAGCACCTGGGGTTGTCTAGGTCGACCGGGTAACCTGCTCGGCGGGTTTTGCGGAGGCACGCAAACGTCGTCGAGGTCGCGATGGCGAAGGCGACTTCGGGTTGGTATCCCGAAGTCGATGTGGCTCGTCAGGCACAGACAACAGCCGACGAATGCACAACGGTGCAAGTCGGGCCAATCGTTTGTGCGCACCTGCGAGCGTGCGCACCGCTGTCTTCTACGGGGCAACGCTGGACAGCCGCTCTGCCGCAGCGTTGGCACACCATCGACTTGCTGTGTTGGCAGGTCACCTTTCTGCAGTGCTGGCGCGGCTCCTCTACGCAACGCTGGCACGCGGTCGACCATGCTGTGCTGTCTGTCGACCATGCTAGCTGCAGAGTTGCTAGGTGCCTGATGTAGTCTTTCTTGTCATTGCTTGTTCAACTATTCGATGATCCCAACTTTGCTAGTGGAAACTCTTGCCGATTTCTCCCGTAATTGTGCAAGCACTAAGGAACTAGGAAAGCTACGATCACTCCTAGTAGTTCGTGCCAACCTTGTAGTCTAGCTCACCACCGTTGTAGAGTGATTCTCCACACTCTCAAGTATGGAACCCAAGCCTTTCACGCTCCTACAAAAAACATTACCGTTGTGCTATGCGCTCACCGAGCATTTGTGAGATGCAAGTAAACTACAAAAAACTAATTCTGTTTGCCATTTCCTACCAAGTCAAGCGGGGGGCTCAGTCTAAATTTCTGTACCCTGTACAGAGAAAAATGCATTCGCCAGAAATTTACACCGGTCAGAGTACATAAAATCAAAACCCTGGCAAATCAGAGAAAACTTCACTTCCAAAAATATTACCCAGAAACGTCAGAGTGACCCCCCAAAAACCACTGATTTTCAGAGAAACAGAGTAATTTACTCTGATAAAAAAACCCCTGCTCGTTCATCCCCATGATCATCGCAAACCCTCCACCTTCCCTTCACACAGCAACAGCCCAGTCATACACCCTAACAGGCTCGCCCATGCGGCTCAGAATCCCCCTAATCTCTTCAGCTGCCTCCCCACCAGGGCTGACGTTTCATTTTAAGCCTCCCTGATTCCGGGGAAAATTTTCCCCGTCGATTATGGGTGCACATTTTCCAGAAAAGCAGTACCCTGATTGCTCAGGGTTGTAAAGTAGTTAACACTGATTGTTCAGGGTCGATAACTGAACATCAGAGTAGTAACGCGCGCTTTGTTACCGGGGACAATATCCCCACTCTCCATAAAGTCTGCGCGCTGTGTTTCCTGCTGGCTGTACACTCGACTGATTTGTGCAGGGCGGGTGTGATTGACGTGTTCGAGTCACAGATTTCCGCTGTCAGAGCCTATTTCGACCAATCCCAGCAAAGTATATCTGACATTGCACATTCACGCGATTTCGATGGTAGGTGTATCAGAACGAAGTTTCGAAGAAACTTCGTCTCGATAAAGCGGGAAGGGGGGGGGATTACGCACATGCGGGGGGATCACTGCGATCAATCCAAGGCGGGGTCATCGGAACGAAACTTCCGAGAAACTTCTTCTCGATAAGTCAGGGTCCACACAGTCGATACTCTGTTAAGTCAGGGTCCACTAACAGCCTAGTCTGTTACACTGTACTCAAAATCAGGGATAGCTAAACTATTACTCTGATTGGATCAGGGCTGGAAATTCAATAACTCTGAAATTTCAGTCTCCACGAAGTGGAAAGCCTGAAATCACCCTGAAATCAGGGTAATTACCCTGATAAAATCAGCCCTGCTCCCCACTCCGTCCCATGATCATCGCAAAGCCTCTCCCTTCCCCTCACACAGCGACAGCCCAGTCATACACCCTAACAGCCTCGCCCATGCCTCTCAAAATCCCCTTAATCTCCTCTGCAGCCTCCTCGCTCCTCCCCATGATCATCGCAAACCCTCCCCCTCCCGCCCCTGCAAGCTTCGCCCCACAACTCAGATGCTTCACAGCGGCCAATAGCGCGTCGACATGTGGATTGCTACAGTGCGGGTCCAGCTCCTGGTGGAGGTCCCAGGTGTGGGAAAGAACGCGCCCTAGAAGGTCGAGATCGGTGGTTGAGATCGCACGACGGCCGATCTCGGCGAGGTCTGTGAGCCGTTGGATGGTGGAGATAAGGCGGGAGTCCCTCTGCAGGTAACGGGTTACCAAATTCTTCAAGACGTTACGGGCCAGACGCACCTGGAAATGGAGAAAAGGAACAAACAAACAAGCAAAAACAAAACCAAGGTGCAAGAAATAAAACTCAGACTTGAGGCGCCTCGAAACTGGAAGTTTTGTGTCACATAGAGGGTAACCATGTTTCACAAAACGTTACAGCCAGACGAAGCTCAGGTTGACAGAGAGTACAAAACAACATCCGGCCACAAAATCAACTTCTGCTGTACTCATCCTCTGCTCCCGGTGACTTGTTAGTCTACTAGACTAGAGGTCTCACCTGGCCCACAAAAACAACAACCAAGCGTTGCTGGAGGGCAGAGCGGAACGCCGGCAGCAGATGAAGGGGGTCCACTACGAGACGAATGGGGCGAGTGGGCAGGCTGATAGTGCACTTGATGCCTGGGTAAAGTCCCCCTACTTGATCCTGCCACCCTCCCCCCGTGCCCATCCTCTGCTCCAAAAGCAGCACCAGGCGGCTCACTTCCTCGTCCGTCACCTCAGGTGCTTCCTCTGTTGCCCCAGGTGCTTCCTCAGGTGCTTTTTCAGGTGCTTGCTCAGGTGCTTTCTCATGTGCTTTCTCAGGTGCCTTTTCTGCTGCCCCAGCAGGAGAGCTCTCTCCCACAGTCCTGCCCCTCCCTCCCCCTCGGATCAGCACCAGAAGCGCTCGCACCAAAGCAGCTGCCACAATACTGCTCGTACCGAGACCGCTGCCCCTGGGAACGTCAGCCCATGTTCGGATATGCAGGCCCACACATGATGAGGAGGAGGAGGAGGAGAGGAGGGTGGATATGCGGGTGACGAGGAGGGCAGCCTTGACTATAACGAAGGGTTCTTGTGGCGAGAGGTGGGTGGGGATGGTGGCGGGGTCGGGGATGTGCAGGGAAGCACCGTGGTCATCCTCCATTAGAACGCCTGTGTAATGAGAGTAAGGGCAGAGAATGAGTGTGTGGGGTTAAAACACGAGTGGATGGGGATGGTGGTGGGGTCGGGGATGTGGAGGGAAGCACCGTGGTCGTCCTCCATTAGCACACCTGCGGAGGGAGCAAGGACGGTGGGTGGGTAGCAGAGGAAGGGTTGACGGGGTGACGTTTCAGTTGACTCAAAAGACAGGTGGAAGGGATGGTGGTGGGGTCGGGGATGTGGAGGGAAGCACCGCGGTCGTCCTTCATTAGCACACCTGTGGATGATGGAATGGTGTACAACAGTTGAAGGTGAAATTGAGTCAACTCAACAGTTCGATGGGAAGGGATGCGGAGGGGTCGGGGATGTGGAGGGAGAGAAGCCCTCGAATTGACTTGAGAGAGAAGCCCTCCATGGGTGTTGAGGACACCTTGGCAGTCGAGGAGGAAGGGCGTTGGGTGGGTGGGTGGGTGGGCGTTGGGTGGGTGGGTGGGTGGGCGTTGGGTGGGTGGGTGGGTGGGCGTTGGGTGGGTGGGCGTTGGGTGGGTGGGTGGGTGGGCGTTGGGTGGGTGGGTCAGGAGTGGTTTTCGAGTCGAATTAAAAGACTAGCAAAGGCGGATCGTGGCAGGGTCGGTATGTGGAGGGAAGCACCGTGATCGTCCTCCGTTAGGACACCTGTGAAACGGGAGCAAGGGCGGTGGGGGGTGGGTAGCACAGACACGGTTCTGGGGTGACTTTCGAGTTGAACGAAAAGAGCTGACACTTGCACAATCCTTAGAGGTTCAACAACTCACCAGGTTTCTTCACCACAGCCTCAGTCCTTTTCAACACCGCACTGTCATGTTCTGGACTGCTCTGCACCGCTCTCGACTATCACCCTGTTTTAAATTTTGGAGGTTCAAGCACTCACCAGGTTCCTTCACAACAGTCACAGTAGCCCCCAAAGGCCTCTTCCCCTCCAATCGCACTGCCACGTTCAGCACCGTTCTGCACCGCTCCAGGCTCCCATAGCAAAAAACTGACGCGGCAATGATTTTCAAATGTACAAGCACTCACCAGGTTCCTTCACTACAGTCACAGTGGGCCCCACAGGTCTCTTCCCCTCCAGCAGCACCGCCATGTTCCGCACCGTTCCACACCACTCTAGACTCCCCCAGCAAATGATTGACACTTCAACGATTTCCAGAGGTGTAAGCACTCACCAGGTTCCTTAACGACAGTCACAGTGGCCCCCACAGGTCTCTTTCCCTCCAGCAGCACCACCATGTTTAGCACCGTTCCGCACCGCTCCAGGCTCCCATAGCAAACAACTGACGCCTCAATGATTTTTGAATGTACAAGCACTCACCAGGCTCTTTCACTACAGTCACAGTAGCTCCCACTGGTCTCTTCCCCTCCAGCAGCACTGCCATGTTCAGCACCGTTCCGCACCGCTCTAGACTCCAGGGAGGAGTGTCGCTCCACCCGCCTGCTATGTCCAGGCGCACTGGTCGGGTCACAGTCACAGTAGCGCCGAGAGGGAGGGCTGCTGGGATGGGAGAGGATGGAGAGTGAGAGGATGGAGTGAGGGTAGAGAGAGAATATATGGTGGAAAACAGCTCATTCCAGGGCGCCTGGTATGTCCAGGCGCACTGGTAGGGTTACGGTGACAGTGGCACCGAGAGGTAGGGATGCTGGGAGCATGGGTTGAAGGGGCAGACGGGGAAAGGAGAGACAGAGAGCACGGTGGATGGAAGATCCTAGGAGGCGTGTTGCTCCACCCGCCTGCTATGTCCAGGCGCACTGGTAGGGTTACAGTTACAGTGGCACCGAGAGGTAGGGATGCTGGGATGGGACGGGATGGAGAGAGGGAACGGGAGGGATTGGAGTGTGTGTGAGTGGGTGGAAGGGGAGGCGTGTCGCTCTTTTGAGGCTGCTCAAAAGCAGGGCTGCTGGGATGGGAGGGGATGGAGTGAGGGAACGGGGTGAGGGAATAGAGTGTGTGGGAGGGTGGAAGGGGAGGCGTGTCACTCCACCCGCCTGCTATGTCCAGGCGCACTGGTCGGGTTACAGTCACAGTGGCACCTAGTGGCAGGGGTGCTGGGACGACAGGGGATGGAGCGAGGGGATGGGGTGAGAGAGAGTATGGTGGGAAGCAGGTCACTCCAGGGAGGCTATCGCTCCGTTCCACCCGCCTGCTTTGTCAGCGCAGTGGTAGGGTTACAGTCACAGAGGCGCCTAGTGGCAGGGGTGCTGGGATGGGAGGCGTGAGTGAGGGGGCGGAAGAGGAAGAGTGAGAAAGAGTACCCCCAGGGAGGAGGCGTGTCGCTCCACCCACTTACTATGTCCAGGCGCACTGGTAGCAGGGCTACCCGTGACAGTGGTGCATGTTGCTACCGGCAGGGTTACCCCTGCTGGCCCTTTACCCCTTCACACTGACACCCCGTTTCGTTGCAATATACTCACATCGCTTTTGAGGTGACTCAAACTCATCATCCCTCCCCTCCACCCGCACTCCCACTGCTACTGCTGCGGCTGCCTCCCCAGGCACAGCCCTGATACACTTTCATAGCACGCCCTAAAACCATTTCGTTGCATGCTCTCTCTTCTACCCATCATCACTCACCCTGCTTTTGAGTCGAACCCAACTCATCATCCCTCCCCTCCACTCCCACTCCCACTGCTACTGCTGCCTCCTCAGCCACCGCCCTCCACACTCCCTCCTCCAACTCCTCCTCTTCACCCTCTCCTCCTCTATTCCCCCCCCTCTCTCCAATCCCTTCCAACTCCCTTTTCCCTTCTCCCCCCTCTTCCTTCTCCCCCTCTCCAGACTTGCAACCTTCAGTCCCCTCACTTTGCACCCCTCGTGCTGCTCTAACCAGGTCTAGCTGTGCTTGTAGTACACGACTCATAGGCACACCCGCCCACTGCTGCTGCTGCAAATGGCGCATCTGCCCCTTCTCCCCCCCGTCCCCCCCCTCTCCCACCCCCTTTTCTCCGCTCTCTCCGTCCCTCCTTTTTTGTGACGATCCTATGGCTTCTCTCCCCCCCACAGGAGGGAAGAATGAGGCGAGTTCCCTACACAGGTCTCGGGCTCCTCTCTTCCTCCCCCTGCCTTTTCTCTTGCCTCCATCACCGTTCGCATTGTCTCCATCGTCTGTACTGTTGCTATTGCTGGTTGAGTTAGCACTCTTGTGTGACCCTGCCACGTGGCAGGTGCTTCTGTGTGCGTCTATCACGTCAGCAAGCAGCAGCTGACGTGTGAGAGAAGCTAAATTGCGGCCCAGGGACCCTCCAGCAGCAACAGCAGCAGCAGTGGCAGCACCAGAAGCAGCAGCGCTATCAGTAACAAGAGAAAAGGCACTTGCACTGCCGTTTATTGCAGCCCGAGAAAAGCCAGCAAGCAGCTTGGATCGACGGTGCAGAGCAGAGGAGAGCAGAGCCGGGAAGTCGATCTGACGGTGGAGAAGAGCCAGCGACGTGCGGTCAGATGTGCGCCACGTGTCAGCGTACTGTTGGCTGACAGCTTGGCTGGGGGTGTGGTTGGAAGCTTGGGTGATAGTAGGAGGGAAGCTTCCAAGAAGCCACATGGCGAGGGGAAGGCCAGAGCCGGAGGGAAGGATGGGGAAGAGGAGGGCGTTCCATAGGTCCTGCTTTGGTTGAATTGGGCGGCCTTGGTTGTCTGTATCTGAAAAGGGAAATCGACAGTGGAGGAGAAGGGGCAGCAAAAGGAGCAGTGAGGTGGGTGCGTAGCAGAAGCAGGGATGAGAACGGCACACGAGGCTTTTGCTTGGGGAATGGATAATGAACGTGCAGGGCATGTGGTGGAAGGGCGGGAGAGGGAAGGGCGGGGAGAAAGGCAGGCAGACTATGGGGCAAACTGACTGCCTGAAGAGTGGATGTGTGGTGTTCAAGTGTGGTGTTTAAGTTTGTTGGGCCAAGCCAAGGGCATTATGTGGTACAATAACAACCGCGATTGGAAATAGGCGAGTGTGAGATTATTCTGAGCAAAACAGCTCACCTGGCCAGATGTCCATCGCCTTGAGCCATCTGTCTCTGAGCCACAGGCCTCAGGGGCGCCCAGAAGAATGGCCTTATACTATGTGTGTAAAGCTATTGGGATATGTAAGACACCAGTGACGAGCATAACAGAGAAAAGAGTGTATAACCAGCTCACCTGGCCAGATGTCTGTCGCGTTGAGCCCTCTGTCTTTGAGCCACAGCCCCCAGGGGTGGAAAACAGAATACTACCTGGCAAGCACCACCTTAGTACGCAGATAGAGCTTGGGAGCGCGGTGCGAACAGCTCACCTGGCCAGATGTCTGTCTCTTTCAGCCCTCTGTTTTTCAGCCACAGCCTCCAGGGGCGCCCACAGAAGGAGCCTCCCCCAGAAAACGACAACTTAGGGTTGTCATCCACACCGCAGCAGAGGGTGACCTCCCGCCCCCCTTTTAGCGGCACCTGCCATAAGCACATGTGGCTTGGCAGCACAAGAGGACAAAACGATGTGACAATAGGGGTGGGAGGACCGCTGGAGGCTGACTCAGCAGTTGCTGCGTCAGCAGCTCCTGCTGACGTGGCAGATGCTGACTCAGCAGCAGCGGCAGCAGCGGCTGTGTCTATGCCAATCACGACGCATCGGTCGCCGATCCGCGTGCCTCGGACCAGCCAGCTGTCAGAGACTACACTTCCCTCCCCGACACACGTGCCAGGTGGCACGTGCGATGAGATGAGCGCTGCAGATTGCGCCACGTGGCAGTCTGTTGGCGCGGCGACCGCGCTGAGGTGGCGGCGCGGCATTCGCCCAGTGTAGGCGAGGCGCATGTGGTGGAGGTACTCTGATGACGTGCCGAAATGCAGGAAGGAGAGATCATCTGCATGAAGGGAGAGGGGAAAAGGGGTTACGCGGATGGAGAAGGAGGGAAGGGGAGGGGGATAATTTAGAGGCTCATGTGGTGGAGTGGAGATACTCTGATGACGTGCTGAAATTCAGGAAGGAGAGATCTTCTGTGGTGGGGGGGGAGGGGGGGAGGGGGGTGGTGTGGATGGAGGGAGGGGTGGGGGAGGTGTGTACGGAGGAAAAGGGAGGGGAAGGGAGGGGGTTTAGTCTAGCAGTGCACACGAGTGGGCGAGGCGCATATGGTGGAGATACTGTGATGACGTGCCGAAATGCAGGAAGGAGAGATCGTCTGAGGGAGCAGGGGAAGCGCAGGATGCATGGCAAGGGAGGGGCGAGATGGGGTTCTAGTTTGGATTGGAGGAGCACACGAGTGGATGGACAGGGGGCATGTGGTGGAGATACTCGGATGGCGTGCCAAAGTGAAGGAAGGAGAGATCGTCTGTTGGTGGGGTGGGCGGATGGGAAGGGATGGGAGAGGAGGAGCACATGCCATGAGTAAGTAAGGCGCTTTTGGTGGAGGTACTCGGATTACGTGCCGAAATGAGGGAAGGAGAGATCATCTGTGGAAGCATGAATGCACCGGGTGGAGAATGGAGGGGAGGGGGAAGCACACATGCATACAAACACATCGGCATACATACAACCGGACTTGCCTGCGCAGTGGTGGAAGAGGGAGTGGGTGCTGAGGTGGGCGAGTAGGTGCGATCCCAGGGGGCGGGAGGACAGCCAGGCGTGGCGCGCCGGCACCCATGCTGCTGCCAACTCCTCGTAGAGACTCAACTGGGGACAGAGGGACGGACATGATACGTGCACGCAGAAAGGATGGGAACAGACGGACAAGTGCATGGGATGGGAGAGACGTGCAACTTGCAAGCACATGGGATCCCAGGGGGTGGGAGGAGAGCCAGGCGTGGCATGGCATAGAGACTCTACGCACACAGACAGCAGCGCGCATGGGATCGGAAACATGGAAGCTGGGTTTTAAGTTGACTAGAAAACGTGCCAGCACTTGCCACCTTCACCACATGTTCCTTCATCTCCTCCTCTCAACCACTCACCTTTTCGCCCGACGCCAGCAGCTCTGCTAGCAAGTCCTCCTTTGAGGCGCCTCAAAAGCCGTCTTCCTTCGCACCTCCACTCCACCTCACCCCTTTCAACCCCTCAATCCACTCCACCTTCGCCCACCCACTCACCTCTTCGCAAGACGCCTGCAGCTCTGCTAGCAAGTCCTCTTTTGTGGTGCCTCAAAAGTCATCTTCCATCTCACCTCCACTCCACCTCACTCCCTTCAACCCCTCAATCCACTCACCTCTTCGCCTGACGCCAGCAGCTCTGCTTTTGAGGCGCCTCGAAAGTTGTCTCTTATCCCGCAATTTTCTATTGAAAGGATTTTGGAGGCGCCTCAAAAGCACCCCCTTCAACCCCTCACCCCACTCCACCTCCGCCCACCCACTCACCTCTTCGTCAGACGCCAGCAGCTCTGCTAGCAATTCATCCTTTGAGGCGCCTCAAAAGCCATCTCACCTCCACTCCACCTCACTCCCTTTCCTTCAACCCCTCACTCCACTCCACCTCCGCCCACCCACTCACCTCTTCGCCTGACGCCAGCAGCTCTGCTAGCAAGTCCTCCTCGCTGGTCGCCAGCCCAATCAGGTCGCACCACGTGTCACCACAAACAGCATAGATCCCAGTGTCTAGCAGCGCTCCCCCCGTGCGGCATAGTGCCCCCCTCTCCACCATCTCCCGCACACTCGGCTTTTGCAAAATGTCTGCTACTAGTTCGGGGGACTTTTGAGATGTCTTAAAGGCTGCTGTTCGGCACATCGGACCCCTTTCTACCATCTCCCCCACACTCGGCTTCTGTAAGTTGTCCGCTACTAGTTCGGGGGTTCCGCTGCTGCATTGCCTCTCGTGCTGCTGCTGCTGATGTTGCTGTTGCTGTTGTTGCTGCTCCAGCTGCTGTTGCTGCTGCTTCTCATGCTGCCGCTGCTGCTGGCACTGCTCCTGCTGGTGTTGTTGCTGCTGCTGTTGCTGTTGCTTCTCATGCTGCTGCTGCTGCTGTTGCTGTTGCTGCTGATGCTGCTGCAGCAGCAACTGCGGTGGCTGCTGTTGCGGCGGCTGCTGCTGCTGCTTCTGCTGTTGCTGTTGCTGTTGCTGCAACTGCTGCTGCTGCAGCCGTTGCTGCTGCTGCTGCTGTTGCCACTGCTGCTGGTGCTGTTGTTGCTGTTGCTGCCGCTGCTGCTGCTGCTGTTGTTGCTGCTGCTCCTGTTGCTGCCTGTGCTGCTGCTGCTGCTGCTGCTGCTGCTGCTGCTGCTGCTGCTGCTTCTGCTGCTGCTGCTGCTGCTGCTGCTGCTGCTGCTGCTGCTGCTGCTGCTGCTGCTGCTGCTGCTGCTGCTGCTGCTGCTGCTGCTGCTGCTGCTGCTGCTGCTGCTGCTGCTGCTGCTGCTGCTGCTGCTGCTGCTGCTGCTGCTGCTGCTGCTGCTGCTGCTGCTGCTGCTGTCGCCGCTGCTGCTCCTGCTGGTGCTGCTTCTCTTGAGGAACTGACTGTGTCGGTGTGTTGAAGTCAGACCGCGACAACGCTTGGTCCGAGGCAGCGTGCCTGGTCTGGTCCGAAGCAACGTGGCCGGTCTGGTCTGAAGCAAGAATTACTCCATGCCGGGAGGCCACATCCAGGGGCACAGCAGCAGTGACGACGAGAGCCCCGTGGGAGGGCAGGCAGATGCGAGAGGCGTTGAAGCATGGCAGCACGTCGCCTGTCATTATGAAGAGTGACCCCTCTGCGAGGGACAGTAGATATGGGACACGGGATGGCACAACAATCGGAGGGGTAAGACCCATATGGGTAACAGTACAGACATGTGGGATGCGAGATGCGTTGAAGCATGGCAGCACGTCGCCTGTCATTATGAAGAGCGCACCATCTGTGGAGAGAAAGAAGAGAGGGGACAAGGGGAGGAACACGGCGCGTATCGACAACAACTTAGGTGCATGAGATGTGAGAGGTGTTGAAGCATGGCAGCACGTCGCCTGTCATTATGAACAGTCCACTCTTTGGAGGGTGATAGGGGAGGGGCACGAGTTGGGGTGTGGGTTGAGCCAGCAAAGACCCCCCCTTGCAACTTACCAGTTGTGGGACCCCCACCCCCCTTGCAGCTCACCATTCGAAAGGGGAGATTGAAGCACCAGTGCTGAGATGGCGAGGGTGTGGTCAAAAGAGAGTCAAGGGGGGTCCGTCGAATCTAGTTTGAGAGGCCTTGAGAGCAAATGCCTAATTTCTTTGTAAAGTACCCTTGGGTGGAAGGGCCTGCAGCGCCAGTGCTGAGATGGCGAGGATGTGGTCAAAGAGAGTCAATGGGGGGGCGTCAGGGTCGTCCCCAGCCAGCAGCGGGAAGGGCACAAAGGGCTTGCAGTCATAAGTGGTACGAGCCAAATCCGAACCTCCAAACCCCCCTCGCAGCTTACCATTGGAGGGCAGTGCTTGAAGCGCCAGGGCTGAAACCGCGAGGATGTGGTCAAAGAGAGTCAAGGGGGGCCCGTCAGGGTCGTCCCCAGCTAGCAGCGGGAAGGGCACAAAGGGCTTGCCGCACGGATTGGCCCATGGCAGTCGCTTGCTGTCGCCGCCTGCGTGGACCAGTAGCACCTTCATTGATGGGAGACGGGCAGATGATGCCTGGATAACAGAGTGCAATGGGGCAGGGAGGGAGAGGGAAGGGCACAAAGGGCTTGCCACACGGATTGGCCCATGGCAGGCGCTTGCTGTCTCCCCCTGCATGCACTAGCAGCACCTTCATTGATGGGAGACGTTGGGTGGCGGACTGAAGGGCGAGGGAGAGGAATGGGGAGATAGAGAGTGGGGGGAAAGGGAAGGATTGGCCCACGGCAGGGTCGTCCCCAGCCAGCAGAGGGAAGGGCACAAAGGGCTTGCCACACGGATTGGCCCATGGCAGTCGCTTGCTGTCTCCCCCTGCATGCACCAGTAGCACCTTCATTGATGGGAGACGGGCAGATGATGCCTAAGACAGTCGATAGGCAGGGCAATAGGGCACGGAGGGAGAGGGAAAGAGGGAGAGCAGGGTTTGACACAGATTGGCTTATGGCAGCAGCGGGAAGGGCACAAAGGGCTTGCCGCATGGGTTGGCCCATGGCAGTCGCTTGCTGTCGCCGCCTGCATGCACTAGCAGCACCTTCATTGATGGGAGACGCATAGAGGCGGGCTGTGGGTGGGACACAGTCAATAGGCAGGGCGATGGGGCACGGAGGGAGAGGGAAGGGCACAAAGGGCTTGCCACACGGATTGGCCCATGGCAGTCGCTTGCTGTCTCCCCCCTGCATGCACTAGCAGCACCTTCATTGATGGGAGGCGCGCAGAGGCACACTGGGACATGGACAATAGGGGGCAGGGGAAACGAAGCAGAGGAAAGGAGGGGAATATTGGCCCATGGCAGTCGCTTGCTGTCGCCCCCTGCATGCACCAGCAGTACTTTCATTGAGGGGAGGCGGGTAGATGATGCCTAAGACAGTCGATAGGCAGGGCAATATGGCACGGAGGGAGAGGGAAGGAGGGAGAGCAGGGTTTGACACAGATTGGCTTATGGCAGCAGCGGGAAGGGCACAAAGGGCTTGCCGCAATGATTGGCCCATGGCAGTCGCTTGCTGTCTCCCCCTGCATGCACCAGTAGCACCTTCATTGATGAAAGCCATGCAGAGGCGGACTGTGGGACACAGACAGTCAATAGGCAGGGCAATGGGGCACGGAGGGAGAGGGAAGGGCACAAAGGGCTTGCTGCACGGATTGGCCCATGGCAGTCGCTTGATGTCTCCCCCTGCGTGCACCAGTAGCACTTTCATTGATGGGAGACAGGTAGAGGCGGACTGGGACCAAGGTTTAAAAATACGGCCATTGTATTATACGGGCCGTTTTTTTTCGGTCGTATAATACGGTGTGTTTGGCCAGATTTCAGCCGTTTTTTTGTTGGCCGTTTTTTACTCGAAAAAAATTCCAGAAACTACTGAAATGTCTACAACAATGGCTATGAAGGCGATAACAACCTACTCTAAGGAGAAACAGGCCTGCAAAGGTCCACTATTACTGCCTCTACCCTCACTTTACTCATCCTCCTCTTCTTCGTCCTCCTCCTCCTCGTCCTCTTCCTCCTCCCCACTTGAACCGTCGCTGCAATCCCAGGCATCTCGTCCCTTGGGATTCTTCCTGGCAGGTTCTTCCTCCTCCCCACTGCTGTCTGCCGCCTCCTTTTCCTCCTCCTCATCCCGTGCTCTTCCTTTCCCCTTTCCCTTGCATGAACCAATGCCCTTCCCCTTCTTCCCTTTTGATGACTCACCCGCCTTCCCCTTCCTCTTCCTGCCGATGTTCCCAAACTCCGACCAATCAATGGTGCATTCTTCCTCCATGGGTTCTTCCTCCTCTTCAGCCTCCCTTTCCTTGTCCTCCGACTCGGCCGGGATGATGGCACACCCTTCCTTGAGCGTGCCGTTGCCCAGGTCCGCATAGAGCCGTGCCCGCACGGCTGCCTTTTGATCAAAAGCATCGCGGGCCCTCCTGGTGAAGGCCACAATGGTCACGTCAGTCATTTTCTTCGCTGTGAGGCGGTTCCGGTCCCGCCTCTGCACACGCTGAAGGGCTGACCAGTACCGCTCCACCTCAGAGGAGGTGACTGGCTGTGACAGCACCATCACAGCCTGCTCTTGGAGCGCTTGCACTTCCCCACCAAACAGGCACCACCACTCCGCATCCGTCATGCGCCCCCCCTCCACCAAGGTCCTTGCTGCCCAACGGGCATCATCAGAGCCCAGCCGGCCCTCCCCTCTGTGATACTGAGCCAGCTGTGCAGCAAGCGTTATGCGCTGTGAGACATCCCCTCCCCGGGCTTGAATTACCTCATCCGCCCCTTTCCTAATCTCTGGGTCGTCTTTTACCTCCTCCATGTACTGGTTACGGGGGTTGAGAAGCCACCCCATGGCGTGCAGGCAGTTGTGTAGCTGTGCATCCCACCTCTTGGCAATGATTGCCTTGATGGTGGTCAAAAAGGTGCTTCTATCCTTTGTGGCTAGCAGTTCCGTCCGTCTGATGAAGTGGGAGGCTGCTCACGGTGGAAATTGAGCAGATAATGTACACAACAGAATAAAAAAAAGAATGCACAAAACCAGAATGTCCAAAACAGAGTACAAAAACAGAATGTACAAAACAGAAAACAAACAAACTGAACAATACAAAAAGTACAAAACTGACACCAAAACAGAAAGCACCCAGCCCACCCACTTACCAGCCACCTCAGCCACTTCGGTTGTCTTGACCGTGGCCTCAAGCATGAGGCCATAGATTTGGCCCATGACTTGAGCCCGTGTGTCAACGGCTCAAAGAACCTCGTAGATCGGAGTCATGAGGCGGAGCACCGCCGTCCCACAGTCCCAAAAAACATCGTCCAAAAGGAGCTTCCTAACCTCCATCCCCTCCTCCGTCCGTGCCACCGCCACCTCCTCCCATTCTTCACTGATTACCATCACCCTCAACGCCCTCTTCGCCTCCTGGAACCTGCCCAGCATGATGACCTGGGTGCCGAATCTCGTTGCACCCGGCCTCACCAAGGAGAGCTTGCTAAAAAGCTCATGGAACAAGATGACGGCAGAGGCGCTGCCTTTGACCATCATCACCACGCGGTGCACTTGGCCAAGCACGCGTTTAACAGCAGGGATGTTGCCGAGGTCGTGCAACATGAGATCTAGGCAGTGGGCGGCGCAGTTGGTGAAGACAACATGGGGATACTCCGAGCGAAGGTTGTTGGCGGCGGTTTTGTGGTTAGAGGCGTTGTCCATCACGACTTGGACGACATGCTTAGGCCCCACCTCCTTCACCGCTCCCTCAATAAGACCCGCCAAGTAGACCCCGGTTTTTTTGGCGGTCTTCGAGTCAACGATGTCGACAATGACGGGAGCAGTGTCATTTTGGGCGATGACACACACCATCCCGCGGGATTTGATGCATGTCCACCCATCCACGGAGAGCGTGCACCCGCTTGTCTTCCAGCTCTCCTTCATCGGCCGCACAAGATCCTCCGTGTCCGCCTTCAGCTTGTCGAGCAGCGGGCCGGATACCTTGTAGGGGGTAGGGAGGGTGTACGCCTTCCCGTACACGACCGCCGCGTCAACGAAGGCTTGGATTGACTTCGACTTGCTGACGTTGAAGGCGAGGTCGTTCTCGGCAACTGCAGCAGCCCACAGGTAATCTAGCCGATTCTGCGCATTGGTATCCGTCATGTCACGGATATCTCTCTGCCGAGAGCGACGTGCGGCGGGAGGAGGGTCAACCGTGGACGTGGAGGCACGGTTCGATCCTCCCGAACCATTCCCCGTGGATGAGAGCTCCTGATCGGCTGTCGCCCGCCGCTGCTTAGCGTACTCCGATTTGCACATTGCGACGTTCCGATTTTTCTTGTTAGCAGTGCCGACAATGTGCTCCTTTATCCTAGTCGCATTAGCCGTCACGGGAAGTTTGCAATGAATGCATGTAGCACCAACGACCTTATCCTCTGCGTTATTAATCTTAATCACATGCTCCCAATATTCTGAAGCCGGTCGCACCATGGCGTCGATCAAGACTGAGCTAAGCTGAAGTGGGGCAGATCGGTGTTCTCAGGTAAGGCAGCCAGAATGAAGATGAATGTGTCGAGTGACGTTTTTCACTACCAATAAGTACCTCTTAGAGCTTGCTGGTGCTGCTTTGTCGAGTGGTGTTTAAGGTATGGTTGAGATGAGAGGGAAGTTGATTGGGTGCTTGCTATTGGCTGGAAATGCATCGCATGCAATTGTTTCCAGCACCACGACTGCATGCGAAAACACATTGCAAAGCGCGAATTGTGTTGACGAATACGCGAAACGGGTAAGAAAGTTGGCCGGTTCGCCAAATGTGTAAAACGTCGCGCCTCGTCGAATTGGTGTCGACGCGATTCGGCGAACAACATCAACGAATCTGCGAAACGGGTACGCATTTCTTTCCCGTTCGTCAAATGTCAAAATGTCGCGCCTCGACATTTTCCTGACATACGCGACTCGACCCAAATTCTGTCGGGACTCACAAGACTTCGCAAGAAATCCCCCATATTGAACTCGACGGGTCTGAATGTTGAAAATCGATATACACGTCTCGGTTTTAAACTTTCGGCCGAAAAGAACGACCGTATTTTTATTTGAAACTTAAATGTAACTAATGACCGTATTAAACCGTTTTAAACGAACGTATAATACGATGGAAAATCAAAATTTCGGTCGTATTTTTTATCCTTGACTGGGACATGGGGGAGGAGAGAGGAGAGAGCGGGGATGGGGGGAGGAGAAGCTGAGAATGGATGGCTCATGACAGGCGCTCGTTGTTGCCCCCCTTTGCAGAAGCAGGATGGTTCTATCTATGTACATGGGATGGTACATGGGATGGTACATGGGATGGTACATGGGATGGTACACGGGATGGTACATGGGATCGTACATGGGATCGTACATGGGATGGTTCTATCCCATGTCTATCTATGACAAGACATGAGATGAGTTTGGTTGGAAGGCATGGCGTTGCATAATGAATCTGTGCGTGTGGCAGGGAAAGGGGTGACTTTTGACTTAAGGCCACTTACAACAACTTTCCTTCCCCCACCACAAGCAAGGATCCCAAGGCAGGTCTCATCTCATCTCACCTCCCCCAGATGATCCCTCAATGCCCGGATGGCTCCCAGGGTCGCTCCGCCAGACCCGATCCGCTTCCCCTCCCTGTCCGGCACTGCCAGCACGATGGTCTCCGCTGCAATGTGCCCATTGTGCCGCGCTGCTGCCAGCTGCCTGGAAGGAGGAGGGACGAGGAAGGTGGGAACGAGCACCAGACATTCAAGAGCACGTACTCGCTAGATACTGCCTGCCAGCACGATGGTCTCCGCTGCAATGTGCCCATTGTGCCGCGCTGCTGCCAGCTGCCTGGAACACGGAGGGTTGGGGACGTGGAATCGAGGGAAGGAGGGTAAGAATGAGGGCGGGGTGGGGTGGGGTGGGGTTTGGTTCTGCCTACCAGAACGATGGTCTCCTCTGTGATGTGCCCATTGTGCCGCGCTGTTGCCAGCTGCCTGAATAAGGGACGATGAGGGAGGGAATGCCATATAAGAACAATGATTTAACAAAAAAGACCTTCTGCAGCTTCTTTCACATGCTCCTCCTCCACAATGTGCACGTTGTCACGAGCTGCAGTGTCCTTCGGTTGTGAGTTCATGAAATAAAAGTCCTCCTATTTCCTTCACAGTCGATGGTCTCCTCCTCCGCGATGTGCATATCATTGCGAGCTGCTGCCAGCTGTTTGGAAGAAGGGTTCACGGAATGAGGAAGGTTGCAGCAGAAGCAAGACAGAAAGCAACGGAACTATGCTGATACTACTTGGTGGACTTTTGACTAAGTGTGGCAACTGGAATGAGTTCTGAGGCGCCTCAAAAGTCGGAATCAGGCAGATACCAGGGAAGAATGCAGCAGCGGGTTGGTCGTTTTACTTGTACCGTGGCTCGTCGTACCATCGTTGAGAGCTAGATTGATTCAACGACTCCAGACTACAACTCCGGAATGATGGCGTGGATGGAGTTGAGCAGGCTGATAAGAATTTGACTGCCAGACTCCCACATTGTCGGCGATATGGGTGGCATTGGGGAGTGAGGCGGTGAACGATGTAACGTACGAAAAGAGTGGTTACTAAACACCGTCATGCCAGTATACGTGTCATTTGAATCTAATGAACGAATCAAGGGCTTGGAATGATTGTCGTATCAGTCGTAATAGGCGTGACAGTCGCGGTATTCACGGTAGTCGTGTACCTGGAGTAAAGGTCAGCCTGAGCGTCACTCGCAGCGGTGATCAGCAGCGCGTCCCACGGAGGGAAGCGATTGGGAGCGCGAATGGAGAGGCGGAGCTGGAACCACGCGCGGGAGAGAATCTCCGCCTCCCTGCGACCGTCGCTGGCCAGCTGCGATGAGAGCCAGCCGTCGGCTGCCGCGTTCGTCGCCATAGCTCGACCGACAGTGAGTGAACTAATGACTGATTCTATGCTTTCCGCTTCTATTCACCTTGAGCTTCATTGATTATGGATCGGTCTGGAGGAATTGAAAGGAATGGCTGGGACGTTGCCGAAGAGGAATTCGTCGCAGCTAGTGAGTTACCAGTTTTCGCACTGCGCAGTTTATTGGGGTGGCGGGGATGTGTTGAGTCATTCCAACTCCCTGCTGGATCGCTAGTGAAACCCGTTCATGCATCAGGTCCGAGAAGTGTGCATCATGGAACGAACTTGGTTCGTGCAAAACCATGTGCCTCCAGGCAAAAACGTGTTCACATGGACTAACCACAGGAGAATCAAAATTTGCAAAAAGAACGTCTCACGGCTGTAGGGGTTGAAACCGCGTTCGTCACATTAAATTTTGAACACTCCCCAAGATGGATTTTCTCTTTCTTTGGTGTCGGGCCGAATGGAGGCAAGCAAGTTTGCAGCTTGTGATCAACTGACAGCTCGTTGTTGGACACATGCATATGACATCTTTTGTCAGACACCCCGTCCACATGCCTCAGGAACTCTGTCCACATGTCTCGGCAACTCTGTCAACATACCTCTGAAATTCCAGTGTAGTGTCTTCGCTTGTCAGAGGTACCGGTTCGTGGTGATAACCAGGAGACTTGAATTTCAAAATTCCGCAATTTCAGAACGTACCATCATCTTATCCTCACCCGAAGCCTGGAAAGACCTCTGTGTTTTGTATGAAGTGTGGCGCTTAGGCGTGCTATATTCTCGTCATCCTTGGTGGTCAAATGGTTCCCTTAGAAATGGATCCTGACAGCGAGCATAAGTCGAAGCTAATCCCGGAGTCTGCGGGTGAAAACGCTAAAGTTGGAAAAGGTGAACGCTGGAGTAATGGAGGTGCAACCTCTCGGCGAAGCAGCTCTGATTCGTTACTCTCAACTATCCAGTTGGTTTCCATATTATTCTTCACGGTGACAGGGGTAAAAAATCCTTGACCACGGCAAAAGGCTCAGTAGGTGCAGACTTCCCTCCTTATACCCTTGTTTTCAGGGTCCATACGGCTTCGAGGACGTAATTGGAGCCTCAGGTGGCCTTTTGGGACTGGGGATGCTACTTCTTATTCCCTTTGTTTGGTCCGCGCCGTTGGCACTGATGACTGGAGAACTGGCTTGCATGATTCCTCAGAGCGGAGGACACATTTTATGGGTGTATCATGCGTTTGGACCATTCTGGTCTTTATTCAACAGTGTATTGACGTTTGGATGCGGGGTGTTTGACAACGCGCTGTATCCAGCCCTTTTCGTTGACTATCTAAGCCACATCGTATATGGTCCTTTTGGAGCAATTCCCATGCCATATTCGCTCATTCTGAAAGCGACAATGATCGCCGTCACGACCGCACTCAACTTGAGCGGAGTCGACATAGTGGGTACGTAATTTCTTTTGAAGTGTTTCACGAGTACCATGAGAATCCTCTGTCTCACAGACTGCTCTGGCAGGAAAAGCATCGATGGTGTTTGGGGTGTCTGTCATCGCTCCTTTCGTTGCAATGTTCTTCTTCGCTATTCCCCAGCTGAATCTGCAATGGATCAGCTTTCCAACACCCAAGCCTTTAAATTGGCTAAAGTTACTCTCTGTGCTTCTTTGGAACACTTCAGGGTAAGCAGTTTTTTTCCTTTTTCTTCTTTTTTTTCTTTTCTTTTTTTCAGCGTCCTTAGCACGAATAAATTGTCTAAGCGTTTGTATGTGCAGGTTTGATTCCGCTGGAGCTTGTGCTGGTGAAGTGAAAGATCCAGGAAGATCATATCCTCTGGCGTTGCTGGTTTCTGTGGGACTGATGCTTGTTACCTACATCGTTCCAGCCTTAGTTGGCTTGAGTGTGGCGCCATACTTCGAGCTGTGGAAATTTGGCACCTTTACGGACATAGCTGCACGTGTTGGAGGCCGTCCGTTAGAGGTAATGGGCGGAAAATGGCTTGTTTCAGCATGAGAAAAGGATTCATGTTATTGTGCTGCAGATTTGGCTGGGACTTGGAGGAGTCGCCAGCGCCTGTGGTCTTCTCTTAACTCGTCTGTGCATGAGCTCGAGGCTTGTCTATGGAATGGCGGTGGCACATAAGGTGAATTGGTGTTGTCCCATTCTGGTGTTCTGCAGCCTTCTCACACCTCCTGTTCTGCAGGCACCCCAGTTCTTTCAATCTGTTGAAGGGAAACATGGAACTCCTTGGGTTGCACTTGTTATCACTGCTTTCTGCACTCTTCTGCTGTCCGGATCCAAGTTTACACTTCTTGCTGAGGTGAGTACTCAGAATACGGTTATGCTGCAATGCATGGACATAACCTTGATTGAATTTGCATGCATTGCTGAGTGGCAGGCGGATATGGTGTTGTACTGCATTTCCTCAGCATTGAAGTTTTCAGCTCTTATTTACCTGAGATTCACAGAACCAGATGCCTACAGGCCTTTCCGCATTCCTGTGGGTAATCTACTGCTTGTCGGTGAGTGATTGAATGGAACCGCTTTTCCTTCATCTATTTCCCAAGTTCTTTTTCTTCACACCTTGTTCTTGTGGCAGGGCTTACGGCGATTCCACTACTAGTGTGCTTTGCAATGGTGGTCCTGGGTTCACCATTCTCACATCTCGTGGCTCTTTCCTGTACGTCTGAAGCCCATTTGCTTGAAAGATGAAGCGTGTAATTCGATGAAGCTGACCTTTTCCTGTCATGTTTGTTTGCAGGCCTTATGATTGCAATCATAACCCACGTTTGGCTTGAGGCCATAGTCCCTTTTCTCAAACGGGCAGCGTCTGCTGCTGCAGTCATTTATTACGGGACGAAAGAGCACCTCACAAGAACGTATTCTCGTCCAACACATACCCTGTTAGCTGCAGATACGCAAGGCATCTCTCAACAAGCGTGACATGTGTAATATTCTCAGCTATTACTCATTCTATTATGTTTGTCTATTATATCAGTGTTGACTCGTACAGGGTACTGGGTATGGAAAGTCTACTAAAGATGGTGCTGTAGCATTTATGGCTAAATGTGCTATGAAGGTTGCTGTATTCAGAAAGAAATGAAAGGCATTATTGACTCGCGTATTGAATCATCGTGTGCTTGGTACCTCTGCATCTTGCCGATAAGCGGGTTGTAATAGTGGATGACTTGGTGCGTGCATTTTAATTACTCCACGTCAGCCACTATGACCCATATGGGGCGCTCAGCCAATCTACGCACAATTTATGCCACATCTCACCTGACGTGGCATGACTTGTGGACGCCAAGCCTCTCTTTGACGCCATACCTTCAGCGGAAGTGACGTTTTGCGAACCGGGCCTTGTTTGTTGCTTGCCATGACCAAGTTCTTGCACAAAGTTTTGGCGCGAAACCGAGCTCGAGGAGGTGCGGTGCCTGGAGACTGGCTCGGCTGCTTTACTTGTGGCTGCTTCTCAGACCTTCCTAGGGACGAACCAGGTACAAACCAGGCCTGAAACCTGTTCCCAAGGCTATCCCAAATTTCGGTCCACGCTGCAAAGAGTTGGTCACCAGCACATTCGCACAATTCCCAAGAGCATCCTGATCTGTGGGCTCCTGGATTCTGGCCAGCCTGCTTGCTGGTTGTGCAATTCTGGAGCGCACTGAATAAATTCTGTGCTGAAGAGCAGGGTTGGTGACGGAATTCATAAGGAGCGATCTCCTTTTCCCCCAAATTGCTTTGGAGAGAAAGGGTTGGTCAGGCCGGCCGAAGCGTTGTGCCTTTTTTCACTTTAGTGATCTAACATTGCCGTAATGGCTGCATCCAGCAGACAGCAATGGATGCGCTGCGTGCGGAGTCTGGGAGTCGTTATTAGCAACACCGGCTCACGGCCCGTCGTGAGCCACTCCCGGCCTCTCACCTCCCTCGCCGACGCTCCCGCTCGTTATGGCCATCCCAGCATGCTGGGAGCTTTCTCCGCTCGCTCCTCCGGCATTGCGGCCGAGATTCGTGCCAGGAATGCCGCTCAAGGATTCCGTTCCATCTCTGTCGACGCATTGAAGCCTAGCGACACTTTCCCCCGCCGTCACAACAGCATCACCCCTCCAGAGGCCCAAGCCATGGCCGAGTTCTGCGGCTTCGAATCCGTCGATGCTCTTGTCACCGCGACCGTTCCGAAGGACATCAGACGCCAGCCGATGCAGCTGGGGAAGTACACGGAAGGATTCCCGGAGAACGAGATGCTCGAGCGCTTTAAAGACATGGCTTCTAAGAACAAGGTCCTCAAGTCATTCATCGGCATGGGTTACCACGGAACCATTGTCCCGCCGGTCATTCTCCGTAACCTGCTCGAGAATCCAGGCTGGTACACCCAGTACACTCCGTACCAGGCGGAAATCGCCCAGGGACGTCTGGAATCTCTCCTCAACTTCCAGACCTTGATTACTGACCTCACGGCAATGCCGATGTCCAACGCGTCTCTGCTTGACGAGGGAACCGCAGCAGCTGAAGCCATGGCGATGTGTCTCAACATCAACCGCGGGAAGAAGACCAAATTCTACATCTCCAACCTGTGCCACCCGCAGACCATCGACGTGTGTCTGACACGCGCGGATGGGCTTGGGATTGAAGCCGTTGTCGGCGACCACACGAAATTCGACTACTCCAAGAAGGACGTCTGCGGTGTGCTCGTGCAGTACCCTGCGACGGACGGCACCCTGATCGACTACTCCGATTTCGTTGTCAAGGCTCACGAAAACGGCGCGAAGGTCGTCATGGCGACGGATCTGCTCGCGTTGACGGTCGCCAGGCCGCCTGGCGAGCTCGGCGCGGATATGGTTGTCGGTTCGGCGCAGAGGTTCGGCGTGCCGATGGGGTATGGTGGTCCCCACGCGGCGTTCCTGGCCACGTCAGCGGAGTATAAGCGGCTGATGCCCGGGAGGATTATCGGAGTGAGCATTGACGCGCAGGGGAATCCGGCTCTGCGTATGGCGATGCAGACGAGGGAGCAGCACATCAGGCGAGACAAGGCCACAAGCAACATCTGCACGGCGCAGGTACGGAAGGCTGCTATGAATGCAGGTGCCAGGTGTGACATGCATTTTATGGTCAAGGATCACGTGTTGAGAAGTATGTTTCAACTTCAAGGTTTGTGTATTCAGATGCACCTAATTTTCTGGAATTACATGTTAAGAGGCACTTAATGTCCAAGGATGCGCTGTTAAGAGAGTCTGGTCGACATTCCCACCGTACAGGCCGCGTGTCACTAGCGCGAGGCCGCAATGTGACGTTCAGGTCGGCCCAACAGTCTTCTCGTCCGTCTCTTCCTTCTCGTCCATCTCATCCTTCTCGTCCTGCTCCTCCTTCCCCTCCCCTTCCGTCCCATCGTCCTCTCTCAGGCACTCCTCGCCAACATGGCCGCGATGTACGCCGTGTATCACGGCCCCGCGGGTCTCAAGGACATCGCGAACCGCGTGCACGGGCTCGCGGCGGTCTTCGCCAAGGGCGTCGAGATGGCGGGCGCCGGCACCGTCGCTAAGGAGCCGTTCTTCGACACGGTCAAGGTGACCGTTGGCGGCGGCAAGGCTGCTGACGTGGCGGCCGCGGCGGTGAAGGAGGGGATGAACCTGCGCGTGCTGGACGCTGACACGGTGAGCAAATAGAGAAATTGGGAATAAATTCGGGAGCAGAATAGATGGCGGTGAAACATGGGCAGAGTGCGCCGAATGCTGGTACGGTGAGGTGAAGGGAAGGACGTTAAAGGGCTCGCGGCGGTCTTCGCCAAGGGCGTCGAGGTGGCGGGCGCCGGCACCGTCGCCAAGGAGCCGTTCTTCGACACCGTGAAGGTGACCGTCGGCGGCGGGAGGGCTGCTGACGTGGCGGCGGCTGCGGTGAAGGAGGGGATGAACCTGTGCGTGCTGGACCCTGACACGGTGAGCGGAAAGAGAATTAGAATGGATATGTGGAGTAAAGTAGATGTTGGTCTCAAGGACATCGACCACGCGTGCCTGCTCACCCTGCGCGTGCTGGACGCTGAAACGGTGATGAGAAGAGGAGGATGTTGACGATCCAGCGAATAGGGAAGGAATGGAAAAGGGAGGGGGTGCTACGACGGCGAGGGGATGCTGAGGGGGTGAGGGAGTGGGAGATTAGGAGCGACTTGAGTCGTGTAGGGATAATGGAAGAAATTTGAACATGGATGGGATGGGGATCGATGGAGGACGAGGAAGGTTGCGAACAGGTGTAGCAGAAGGAAATCAACATGCAAGTACTTTCGCCCTCACCTTCTCCCTTTTTCACCCCATTGTCTCTCTTCCCAATGACAGATCACTGTTGCGTTCGACGAGACCAGCAGCATTGCTGACGTGGACGCGCTCCTGAAGGCCGTGGCTGGCAAGCAGGTGAGGCGAAATGGGCGTTGGACAAGCGAGCGAGGTTTTGAGGCCATGGGCGTGGGACGTTGGGCATAGGGCACGGGGAAGGGGGGCACGGGGCATGGGGCATGGGGCGTGGGGCTGGGCCGGAACAACAACGAGTTGACGTCCACGCAGGCATCGAACGTATTCAGAGCCGAATCTATCACATCTCATTGCATCTCATTTATTTTTCGTAAACGTCCCTTGACGTGCTTCTCCATGCTGACACCACCCCTCAAACCCCCCACCCCACCCCCCCCCCATCCCCGCCCCCCTCCTCGCCCCTTCCTTCCCCCTCCTTTGCCGTGTACCCTCTCCCTAACGTTTCTTGACACCGAACTCCATTGCACCGAACTCCATTGCATGGCCTTGCTTCGCTGACATGACCTCAATTACTTGCGTTCTCGTCTTCTCTTCTCACTTTGCTGCTCTATCTCAGCCCCATGACACCCTGACGTGCCTGACCCCGCTGCACAGTTTCAATGGTTTAAGGTCTCTGCCAAAGTCGTGGGTTCAATTCGTGCCCTAGCAGTTGTGCATCATATAATGACTTTTCGTTCGGTGTATTTGCGCCATGATCCATCCCGTCCCCAACCCCTCTCCAGCCTGCCTTCACAGCGGAGTCCATTGCATCGCAGGTGGACGCAGCTCTGCCCAAGTCGCTGGAGAGGGACAGCGCCTTCCTCACTCACCCCATCTTCAACACGTGAGTACAAGGAAGGACTTTTTTACTTGAGTAGCGCATATTAGAAAACACGAAGGCGCAATACGAGGTGCCTGATCCGCTGGGCTGGAGAGACACAGTACCTTTCTCACTCACCCCACCTTCAATCCAGCGCAATGCACGAGTGAAACGCATTCCATAATAGCGACCTGCACCGCTAACATGATCGCCCAGAGCATGGCGAAGGACCTCTCTCCCGTGCGCTCCATGATCACCCTGGGCATGGCGAAGGACTTGTCTCTCGTGAACTCCATGATCGCCCAGAGCATGGCGAAGGACCTGTCTCTCGTGCGCTCCATGATCGCGCTGGCCTCCTTCACCATGAAGCTCCACTTCCCACCCACACCCGCCAACACCCCTCAAATCCCATGGGCCTCAACACCCCCTCCCCTCCTCCCCTCGTTTTCTCCCCTCCTCCTTTCCTCCTCTCCTCCTCTCCTCCCTCCCCACCTCCCTCTCCTCCCCTCCTGCCTCCCTTCCCTTCCCCCTCCCACCGGCTACCACTCAGAGCACGAGCTGCTGCGCTACCTGCACCGCCTGCAGTCCGTCCCTTCCCTCGAATCTTGTGCCTTTCCTCCTCCCTTCCCTTACCCCCCCCACCCCCCCCCTCTGTTCCCCTCCCCTCCCCACCCCCCAGCTACCACTCAGAGCACAAGCTGCTGCGCTACCTGTACCGCCTGCAGGCGAAGGACCTCTCCTCAAATCTTGTGCCTCCGTTTCCCTCCTTCCCTCTCCTCCCCTCCCCTCTCCTCCCCTCCCCTCCCCTCTCCTCCCCTCCCCTCTCCTCTCCTCCCCTCCCCTCTCCTCCTCCCTCTTTCCACAGCTACCACTCAGAGCACGAGCTGCTGCGCTACCTGCACCGCCTGCAGTCCATCCCTCCCCAAAAAAAAAACCCCTTTTCCAATGCCTTATCCCCCCCTCTCGACCCCCCTCTCCTCCAGCTACCACTCAGAGCACGAGTTGCTGCGCTACCTGCACCGCCTGCAGGCGAAGGACCTGTCCCTCGAATCTTGTGCCTTTCCTCCTCCCTTCCCTTACCCCTCCCCTCTGTTCCCCTCCCCTCCCCTCCCCTTCCACAGCTACCACTCAGAGCACGAGCTGCTGCGCTACCTGCACCGCCCTCCTCCCTCCCCTTACCCCTCCCCTCTGTTCCCCTCCCCTCCCCTTCCACAGCTACCACTCAGAGCACGAGCTGCTGCGCTACCTGCACCACCCTCCTCCCTCCCCTTACCCCCCCCCTCTGTTCCCCTCCCCTTCCACAGCTACCACTCAGAGCACGAGCTGCTGCGCTACCTGCACCGCCCTCCTCCCTCCCCTTACCCCTCCCCTCTGTTCCCCTCCCCTCCCCTTCCACAGCTACCACTCAGAGCACGAGCTGCTGCGCTACCTGCACCGCCTGCAGGCGAAGGACCTGTCCCTCGTGCACTCCATGATCGCCCTGGGCTCGTGCACCATGAAGCTCAACGCCACGGCCGAGATGATCCCCATCACATGGCCCGAGCTCGCAAACATCCACCCCTTCGCTCCCCTCGACCAGACCAACGGTTACCAGGTACGCTTGCCATTCTCCTGTTGTGGCTCAGGCCTGAACCTCTGAATGCCCCCTGGTGTGGTTCTGAGGCCTCTACTGCTTGGCTCGGGGCTCGTGCACCATGAAGCTCAACGCCACGGCCGAGATGATCCCCATCACATGGCCCGAGCTCGCCAACATCCACCCCTTTGCACCGCTCGACCAGACCAACGGTTACCAGGTACACAAGCCATTCTCCATTTTTGGTGCAGGCCTGAACCTCTGAATGCCTTCTGTTGTGGTTCTGAGGCCTCTTCTGCTGGGATTGGGGCTCAACGCCACAGCTGAGATGATCCCCTCCCCACCACATAGCCCGAGCTCGCCAATATAAAACCGTTTCCCTGCAGCCCAACATGGGTGCTGCTGGTTGTTCTGCAGTTCTGCTCCTCCACCCATCCATTCTCGCACTGCCCAACCCCCTCAATTTTCCCTGATCACTTCCACCCATCACCCCCCCCTCACCACCCTTCACCACCTCTCACCACCGCAGGAGATGTTCAACGACCTGGGCGCCATGCTGGCGGAGATTACTGGCTTTGACTCGGTTTCTCTGCAGCCCAACGCGGGTGCTGCTGGTGAATACGCGGGTCTCATGGCCATCCGCGCGTACCACCAGGTAGGGGGGTATGATTGGTTAGCGCTGTTTGCTAGTGTAGTTGTCGTCGTGCATACCAGCAGCCCAGCTTGGGTGCTGCTGGCGAGTACGCTGGGCTCATGGCCATCCGAGCATACCACCAGTTAGGGAGATATGGGTACTCGTAGCATTTTATGTATTGCTGGGGGAGTCATGTCCTCTACACCCGCCCACTCTCGGCTTCCTCCATCCGTCATGCCTTTTCCTCTTGCTCCCCCAGTCCCCTGGCATCTCCACCACAAGCAATGCGTGCATCTTTCTGGTGTCCACTGCTTTCTTTTGCCCCTCTCCACTCCTGACCCATCCGTTCCCACCTATCTCGACACCCACCTCTCATCTCTTGCATTGCAGTCCCGTGGCGACCACCACCGCAACGTGTGCATCATCCCAGTGTCAGCCCATGGCACCAACCCAGCGAGTGCCGCCATGTGTGGCATGAAGATCGTGGCGGTCGGCACAGACGACAAGGGCAACGTTAACATTGCTGAGCTCAAGGCGGCCGCTGAGAAGCACAAGGACGACCTCGCTGCCCTCATGGTGAGCAGGGGGGTTGTTGTTAGTCAGGTCAGGCAAATCCGCTCCTTTTTGCTGGTCAGAACAAGGAACCTTGTGGCATGGAGATGGCTGCTGTGGGCACCGACGACAAGGGTAACGCCAACATTGCTTAGCTCAAGGCGGCCGCTGAGAAGCACAAGGACGACCTCGCCGCCCTCGTGGTGAGCGCATAGAGGGGCATGTAGCAAGGTCAGGGTGATAGGCTCCTCTTTGCTGGGGGCAAGGTCGTGGCAGTGGGCACGGACGACAAGGGCAACGTCAACATTGCCGAGCTCAAGGCGGCTGCTGAGAAGCATAAGGACGACCTTGGTGCCCTCATGGTGAGTGTGTGTGTGGGGGGGGGGGGGGGAGGGAGGGAGGGGAGTGGGGGGTTCTTGCAGGCAGGTTAATCAACTCCTCTCCTTTGGGGTACGGCAAGGCACGTTGAGGAATAAAGATCGTGGCAGTGGACGAGATGTGCCGCGTTATCCACTTAATTCTTGTGCAACCATCCCCTTCCTGTCCTATTTCCATGTGCATCCCATTCCTGCCCTGTTACCATCCACTCATTCAATGCCCCTCATGACTGCAGATCACGTACCCATCGACCCACGGAGTGTACGAGGAGGGTGTGGACGAGATCTGCCGCATCATCCACGCCAATGGTGGCCAAGTGTACATGGATGGCGCCAACATGAACGCACAGGTGAGCTTAAGTTCACATTCGCACATGCATATCCTGTCAGCTTAAGTGTAGATGGATGGAGCCAACATGAAGTCACAGGTGAGCACGGAGCTTACAAGCATACATGCGTACATATAAATGGTGATTGTAACCTCGTGCCACGTTATCCGTGCCTACGGTGACCAAGTGTACATGGATGGAAATGGATGGAGCCATCATGAAGTCACAGGTGAGCACGGAGCTTACAAGCATACATGCGTACAGATAAATGGTGATTGTAACCTCGTGCCGTGTTATCCATGCCTACGGTGGCCAAGTGTACATGGATGGAGCTAACATGAACGCACAGGCGAGCCCTGAGCTTAGGAGAATTCCGCTACCACGGGTGCACACATGAGCACAGGAGTAGACTCCCAACCACGAATGCCCCTCCTCTTGGCTGTCCATCTTTCTATCTCTCTTCTGTTTCCTCCCCTACAGGTCGGTCTCACCAGTCCGGGCCACATAGGAGCGGACGTGTGCCAGCTCAATCTGCACAAGACCTGTGCTCACCCTTGTGTGCTCCCCCTCCCTCCCTTTGCCCCCTCTTCTAAATCTCTTCTTCTATCTCCTGCAGGTCGGCCTCACCAGCCCTGGCCACATAGGAGCGGACGTGTGCCATCTCAATCTGCACAAGACCTTCTGCATTCCCCACGGAGGTGGTGGTCCCGGCATGGGCCCCATTGGAGTCAAGGCACACCTTGCTCCCTTCCTGCCCTCCCACCCTGTGGTGAGTTCTCTTCCTGCCCTCCCACCCTGTGGTGAGTTCTCTTCTTGCCTTCCAATGCTGTGGTAGTCATGTGTGCCTCATACCCACCCTGTGGTGAGTTCTCTTCTTGCCCTCCCACGCTGTGGTAGTCCCATGTGCCTCGTACCCACCCCATGGTGCTATATGTCCTCTTCATCGTTTCACCTAGGCACTTTTTGCATTCCCAACGGTGCCTTTGCCTGTGGCTCTGCACGCAAGCAGATGGGTGCTGCTGCTTCCTGAGGCTTAACACTCACATCCTGTCCAGTGCCCTTCCCACTCACCCACCTCCTTACCACGCCCCCCCTTCACTATCATCCTTACCATTCGCTCACCTGCTTCTCCTACTGTCCCTCCTCCCTCTACTTATCCACCCCACCCACCAGGTCCCCAATGGAGGCATCCCCCCTCCCCCTCCTGGCTCGGTGGGCAAGCAGATGGGCACCATTGCCGCTGCTCCCTGGGGCTCTACGCTCATCCTGCCCATCTCCTTCATGTACCTCATATTGACTCATGTTATGCCTCTCCACCCCTCCCCACCCCACCCAACCCATCAGATCCCGACTGGAGGCATCCCCCCTCCCCCGCCCGGCTCAGTCGGCAAGCAGATGGGCGCCATTGCCGCTGCTCCCTGGGGCTCCGCTCTCATCCTGCCCATCTCCTTCATGTACATCGCCATGATGGGCGCCCAAGGGCTCACTGACGCTTCAAGACTCGCCATCTTGAATGCCAACTACATGGCCAAGAGGCTGGAGGTGGGTGGGATAGTTTCATGTTGGGCCATCTTGAACTCTGGCTGCCTGTAGGGATCTGTCAGCTCATCCTGCCCATCTCATGTACAGTGCCATAATGTGGATGCCGCTTCCTGGTGCCGCTTCCCTCCAAAGCCACTTCCTGATGCTGTTCAGGGGCGAACCGCACCTGCTGATTTGAGCCCTTGACCTCCCCACCTCACCTCTTCTTCCCTCCATCTCTCCGTCTTTCCCACCCATATGCAGAGCCACTACCCTGTGCTGTTCAGGGGAGCCAATGGCACCTGCGCCCACGAGTTCATCATCGACCTCAGGGGATTCAAGGTGGGTTTCAGGTGAAAAACCAGGTGAAACAGCAGGTGAAAACTCGGAGATAACTCTCGGGGGTCAACAATCAGTAATTCCATTTCCAATCCTAGTATCTGCTATTTTTTTGGCAGGGGTGGTGACCTTGGTCATTGCCAGAGTGACCTCGGTCCTTGCCTCAGATCAATTTAAGTCATCTGGATTTTATCTTATGTTAATCCCTCCTCCAGGGCACGGCGCACATCGAGCCAGAGGATGTGGCCAAGAGGCTGATGGACTATGGCTTCCATGCCCCCACCATGTCGTGGCCCGTGCCCGGCACCCTTATGATTGAACCCACCGAGTCTGAGAGCAAGGTGAGTTGATGATAAGAGAGGTCGAGGTTACGTGGGTGGTGAGGGGTGGTGTAGGCCAGAGGTTGATGGGTTATGGCTTCCACGCGCCCACCATGTCGTGGCCCGTGCCCAGCACTTTCGTGATCGAACCTACTGAGTCTGAGAGCAAGGTGAGTTGGTGTGTGGAGTTTAGGGTCTTCTGTTGCCAAGGGGAGATTCTCATGTTGGTGGGCACATGCTGCTGCCTGCTTCATGCACGCTTTCATGGTTGAAAGTTTGCTCTGAGTTTATGAGATGACACTTCTATAATCTGTTTTGACAAGGATGGGCGCAATGGCACTGCTCACACGTGCACACTCATGTTGCCATCCAACTCTCCTTCCACCCTTACCCTTCCGTTGTTCTGCCCCTGTCCCCTGTGTCCTCTCCCCTTACCCTTTTTCCACACTTGTATGCCTATCACCCACGTTCTTCAGGCCGAGCTGGACCGTTTCTGCGATGCAATGATTGCAATCCGGGAGGAGATCCGAGCCATCGAGGATGGGAAGGAAGACAAGGCCAACAACACTCTCAAGAACGCACCCCACCCCGCCTCCGTGGTGATTGCTGATGAGTGGACCAAGCCCTACCCACGCGAGCAAGCAGCCTTCCCTGCTCCATGGGTGCGAGCTGCCAAGTTCTGGCCCACTACAGGCCGCATCGACAATGTGTATGGTGACCGTAACCTGGTGGCAGTTTTGCCACCTGCAGATTCGGCATAGGAGCAGTTCGCTTGTTTTTTAGAAGCGATTACCATTTTGTTGTTTCATTTGTTTAGGTTTGAGTACAGAATTATTCTTACACTGTCGTTGAATACATCTGCTTATAAAATGATTACATTTGCATTAAATGCGAGCTGTACTTATGCATGGGAAATTGAGCCTAAAGCAGCCAAGGGATGTTATTGAAAAGCGCTGTTTTCGAGATATCATCCATTACATGCAATAACGCAGCCTCGTCCATCGGAGTGCACGAGCTGGTGGTGAGAGCCGTTGTTGAAGTGCGTGCGATGTTGTGCGGGAACCGTGGCTTTGGTTTGGTGGTCGGAGGCTCGGGAACCAATAGTGTGAGATGCTGCTCGCGCTGGTGTTAGGTCAAAACAAGGTGTGGGTGGATGACCTGGACTATTCTCATTCTGCGTAACATATCCAGCGTTCCGAGCATGTTGCTGAACTAGGAGGAAACCACCAATACGGGAGCTTCGATTTTTCGCAAGGCGGGAAAAAGTTCATGTCGTACCTCTTCCTTTGGCATTTTCCCCGAACCTTTGGATTTCCCTACAACAAACCTCGCCCAAACCAGCACTTAGGTCCGTCATAGCGGCACACTCAGTATGTCTGTGCTTGGCTGCGCTGGCAGTTGGGTTTGGGTGGCAGGCAGGAAAGCTGGAGCTGGGGCCTCTCCTTGCCATGACCTCTTTCAAGTTACTCCCTCTGCGCTCACTTCCGTGCTAGGGGGCATTATAAGAACCAACCTCACCCAACCGCGATGGAATGTAAATAAACCGTTATACCACACAAAATCTCGCATCAAACGGCCTTCAAGCGATCATCCTTCCCATCCCAGCCCTCAGAGAGCTGCGGTGAGGAGAGAGGGAGCAGGTGAGATGTTTCATCTGGCTGTCAGCTTTCGGCACTGCTCTGCTTGCTGCTGGTGTTGCTGCGGGGGTGGTTTCCGCTCCAATCAAGCCGTCTATCCACTCCTAGCAACCTTAGGACATAGCTCTGGGTTAGGGGTTTCAACTCGAGCAAGCTGGAAGCCTTTCGAGCTAGCGCATACGAGATCATAGGGTAACACTAAGGCGGAAGAAGTACGAACCATTTGCATTAGTTTTTTTCCGAGGGGTAGGCGTTTCTGCAGATTCCCTTAGGTTAGGTTTACCACCTCGTTGGTCAACATGTTTTGGCGAGTAGCGGGCCTCGCTGCAACCTCACCGGTCAGTCCGTAGCCATTTCTCCTGATCGCAGTTTTAGCTTCGTGACTAGCAGAATCTGACGGGTGTGCCAGTTTTATTTTCGTATTTCCAGGTTGATTTAATTCTTGACAGAGATCAGTATACCCTTGAGGAGCTACTGGACGAGGATGATCTTATTCAGGAATGCAAGTCTCTTAACAACCGGCTTGTTAACTTGTATGTATCGTAATCGAAATCTATGGTTAGTTGTGTTGCGATTGCGCGTCGTTGCTCACCGTAGGTTTCTCGGGACATCCTGTTTTCAGCCTTAAAGGGAAGCCGCAAGTCGAGAAGATGATCCGATATGTGGTGGAGGCACCGCCCGACGATGGAGATGCTAAGCGGACATTCAAGTATGCGCAGCGACATACGTTCTTAGCTTAGGGTGGAACTTGTTGAGAGTACTCAGTCGATCTCCTGGTTTGTTTGCAGATTCCCGTTTATTTCGTGCGAAGTCTTTACATGCGACATTGATCAGATATTAACGACAGTGGTTGAGGAAGAAGAGGTATTTGTCGCTCAAATGCCGGATAAGTAGGAAAGCGTTGCGTACATTTTTGAGGATATAGATGCTCGTTGAATCAAACGCTGAAGTTCCCGGTTTGATGAAATGCAGATTATGGATCTGCTTTTCTCCTTCACGAATCCAGATCGTCCGCATTCAAACCTTCTTGCAGGGTACTTCAGCAAGGTATGTTTATAAGGTTTATCGAGACCAGCATGCTTTGAGAAATGTTTTGTACTTCATGCTTTTGTTTGCCATTGTGTTAATAACTCTTATTTTTTTGTCAGGTGGCTGTTTCTCTCCTTATCCGAAAAACTCCAGAAGTGATGGCATACCTTCAGGTGCGTGTCCACGATTTTTTTCCGTTTTCGCCTCGCTTTATTGAATAATTTAGTCGCTAACAAATGTCGTGCATGCATACCTGAAACTATTTCAGAGGCATCCAGAGGTTCTGGATAACCTGATTCGACTTATTGGGATCACTTCCGTCATGGAGGTACGTATTCGTATGGGAGAAATTAAGCCTACGCAAATTCCCCCCTTGTCGTTCAGGAGAACCTGGAACTTTCGCTTTTCATGTTTATGTCGTGGATATTGGTATAACGGCGTGTGCACTGCGTATTGATCAGGTCGTGATGAAGCTTGTTGGAGCAGATGATCAAATCATGATGTATCATTCCGACAAACTGGAATGGCTCGCTGAGACGAGCCTACTGGACACATTGCTGTCGCAGCTTAGTGCTCAGGTAGCGTCACTTTTCCTCGCCGTTAATTTGACTGCTCTTGGCGAATTCATTTTGATTCCACGGATTTCGAACATAGCGTGTTTTCTCTCGTTCTGTATCGCAGAGCTCGTCAGATGTTCATGCGAACGCGGCCGAGTGCCTGTCGGCCATCGCGAGAACAGCCCCATCCGCATTGGCCGCTCAGTTATCAACTCCCAAGTGAGCATTTGCTTTTCTGTAAAAGAATAAAAACTGATATAAATCTATCCTTTTACTTAGGTACGTTGGGAATGTGTGATGTGTGCGTTCAGGTACATTGGGAAGTTTTTCGAGCATGTGCTGGAAGGCCCGAGATCGATGACATCCGTCATCAACTCCCTGTCCGTTTGCATCACGTTACTCGACCCAAAGCGTGCACCGCCTCCCGGCGTCATGCGCAACCAGCTCCAATATCAGCTGCAGACCCAGCAGTACCATCAGCAGCAGCAAGTGATATCTGTGGAGACTGTTGAAGGGATGGTTCAGCGGCTGGGTAAGCAGCTGGAGCCACAGTCAATGTTGCATCCCGTTTCCTTCAGTGTTAGAGCTGTATTGGTTGAGAAATGGTTATTGGGTGTTCATTCCCCTCGCTCGCTCGTGTCTTTTTATTGTTTCTGTTTCAGGCGAGTTAATTGGTATTCTAGACCTTTCAAATGACGACAAAGTCCTCCCAACAACCTATGGAGAGCTACGGCCGCCGCTTGGTATTCACCGTCTCAAGGTAAGGGGATCAAAGCCAGCTAGGGGCGGGTTATATCTTCTCCATCTTTCTGTTCGTATATTTTCTGCCCGCTCCTCTCCCGCACTCATGTTTCTCTTAACTGCTTATGGCCTCAACAGATTGTGGAGTTCATTGGAGTGCTTCTTGGCACTAACAGCGAGCTTGTGCGCCAGGAGGTTGTGAGGCTTGGCGGCGTGCGCACCTGTTTGGATCTCTTTTTCAGGTGCAGATTTCTCTTGTTAGGAGTTTCCCCCGTTTCTTCCTGTTTCCTGAGTTTCTATCCGTCGCCTGCCTTGATTTCACTGTAAAATTTCCGCTTTTCTTCTCTTCATCCTTTTTGTCCAGCAATAACTCCGGTTTTGCCCTTCTTTCCCTGCCATATGTTCTGCCTGGTGGCTGCTCACTTCTTATCCTCAGATTTCACTTCAACAACTTTTTGCACCACCACGTGGAGAGGATGGTAATGGCCATTCTGGAGAGTGGCAGCTCGTTGCTGCTGGATCATCTGTTCGTGGAGTGTGACCTCCTCAACCGAATCATGACCGCTTATGACGATCCCCATGCGCCAGATTCACGCCCGGAGGTACGCCTTGCTTCTCCCTCGCTCCCACATCAGCCTGCTGTCATTGTTGCCCCCTTCTTTTTTTCATGCCTGGAGGTTCGCTCTGGTGCTTCTCTTCTGTGCCCCCCTATCAGCCTTCCGTCGTTGCCCGCTTCTTCCTTTGTTTTATTCGCCGTGAACATTGTGTTTCTCACAGTAGCTGGGCGTTGCATGATATATTCTACTTCCCTTCCTTGTCCTTACCTCTTTCTCTTCATCTTTGACCTTCCGTCGTCCCATTTGTGTGCGGGCTGCAGCCGCGAGCTGCGTCAGCGAGAGTGCCTGCACGTAGCGGGTACATGGGGCATCTGACGAGAATAGGCAACCGGATCTTCCAGTTGGCAGCGTCAAACTCTCAGATCGAGGCTCACGTTCAGGTATGTGCGGGTGAGCATGTGATGTCAGGAATGGCCCTTCGGTATGGCATGCTGCATGTTGTGGGTGTGTACGTTCAGGCGTCACACGCATTAACATTAGAAGAGCAGTAAACATGAACTGAACGGGTCACGTGTACGCATTAGCATCAAGAGAGGAAAACAGGAACTGAAGGGGTAAGGTTTGGATTGTCGCTCTTTATATTCTGCTAATTATGGATTTTTTTTAGGGGGTTTGGGGGGGGGGGAAGACCAGTAGGAGGCTCTTTTATTGATAGTCATGAATTGATTAGGAAAAGCGTTTTTTCTTAGATGTTTTTTTACTTTTTAAAGAATTGTGATTATTGCCTTTGTCCTCCCCTTCACGGCCTGGCCTGTTCCCGTCTCCCCTTTTCCCCCACAGGCAAATCCACGGTGGGCGGATTGGCAGAAGAACGTTCTCAGAAAACGTCTTTTGCTCGAGAATGTCTACCAGTGGTCTTGCGGGTACGCGTTCATCTGCACCCCATCTCTCCTTGCGTTCTGCCACTCTCCCACCAACGTGATAAAAGTGTTGTTTTGAGACGTCTCAAAACAACGCCTTCCTCTGCACCCCATCTCTCCTTGTGTTCCGCCACTCTCCCACCAACGTGATAAAAGTGTTGTTTTGAGACGTTCCAAAACAACGCCTTTTCTGCACCCCATTTCTCCTTGCGTTCTGCCACTCCCGCCAGCCTAAAGTTCCATTGTTTTGTGGCTTCATCTGTCGATTCCCACCCTCGCAAGCTTAAATGAATTAAGATGTTATTGCTGCCAGCTTCTCTGCATCACATGATCTCTCACCACATGCCACCATCTCCTCCCACCGTATCCCACACATTCCCACCGGTTTGCCAGACGACCAGAAGCACTGGACTACTGTTGAGACGCCTCAAAACTCACCGCATGCCACTGTCTCCCACTGTATCCCACACATTCCCGCCGGTTTGTCAGGCGGTCAGCAGCGCTGGACGACTTTTGAGGCACCTCAAAACTCATCACATACCCCCCTCTCCCCCGCCATCTTATCCCACACTTTCCTGCTGCTTTACCAGGCGGCCAGCAGCGCTGGACGACCGGCCAGGCGACAGTGACGACGACGAGTTCAACAGCCGCGACCGGGACTTTGACATCTCCACCATCTCGCTCACCGGGGGCTCGAACGCCAACAGGAGCTATGGCCAATACGCCTATGGACAGTCGCTGCTTGACTCAGACGATGTGGAAGAGGTATGATCTCGCCTCGCCTTCTTGAGCTTTAAGACAGCTCAGAAATTGCCACTATGCTTCCTCCCGTTGTCTTGCTTTTGCTTTATTCCTCTTCCCTCGCTTCACCCCCACCTCCTCTCCCCCCTTTTCCCCCGCTCCCCCCCCCTCTCAAACCCCCCCACCCCCTCTTTCTTTGAGTCGTCAATTTGTCTTCTCTTTGCATTTCATTGCTTTGTTGGCTTTACTTTTCCCGTCATTCTCTTTCCTATGTTTCCTCTGGTCCCCACTCTTATCCACCCTTTTCTTCCTCAACTCAGCCTGTGTTTTTTCTGTTGAAGCGCTGTCACTTGCTTGTTTGCCTGTTGCTTGCTTGATGGTCGCTGCTGCCCCCTCTTCCCTCTCTCGCTGCGCTCTAGCTCTTGCTCCGATGTAGCAGCAGCTGCTGCTGCATCTGCCACGCATTGCAAGGCAGCAGCGGCAGTAGCGGCAGCCGCAGCAGCTACTCATCCTTGTGCCAGGGGGTTGTGCTTGCTGTTGTGAACTGCATGTGGGGCTGTTACTCGCTCTGGTGTGGCGCCTCTTCTTTGCTCTCAGGGCCACGAGCTCAGGGATCCCGTAAGTGCTCCTCTCCACCTCTCCTCCCCAACCCCTTTCCCGACCTCTTCCCTCTCCCTCCCACTCCCCTTCCCGACCTCTTCTCCTTCCCCCTCCCCTCCCACTCCTCCCCTCCCCCTCGTCCCCTTGATCCCCCTTCCCTTACCCCTTCCTTAGGAAACATTGTAGTTGCGCACTGCCTTCAGAGTTAACAAATTGCTGTGTCGTCAACAATCTCTGCTGTGCTGTCTCTATTCGGTGGTTTTCAATGAGTTGCCGCCATTATTTTTTTGCCTGTTTGCGTTTGCTTCTCATTATCTCAGCTGTGCTATTGTAGCGAACGAATTTAGTGTGAGCACAGTCAGGTCACATTTACAAATATCTGAATACGCCTAGCGCACTGGAGGGCATAGGTCAGACAGTCTGAGTGGTTGCCACAGCAGCTGTCTTCAATCACTGTAACCCTCTCTTGCCTTTTTTGCCTCTCTTGCTTCTCTTGCCTCTCTTGCCTCTCTTGCCTCTCTTGCTTCTCTTGCCTCTCTTGCTTCTCTTGCCTCTCTTGCTTCTCTTGCCTCTCTTGCTTCTCTTGCCTCTCTTACTTCTCTTGCCTCTCTTGCCTCTCTTGCCTCTCTTGCCTCTCTTGCCTCTCTTGCAGTATGACGTGGACCTGGTGAAGGCGGAGCAAGAAATCGAGACATTGGCCCTCACCGAAAATGCACCCACAAGGTACAGCCATGATGTTGTGTTTGGTTTTGTTGGCATGGCATGCATTTATTCAACCCGTTTCAGTTTTCTTAAGCATCATGCCTACCAGCAGCCCCTCAAACAAGGATGGTCTCGTTAAAAGGATAGTAGTATGTGTCAACAAGGATACCGCCAATTTTTTTTTCTCTTTCTCTCTCCCATGCACTCATACTGTCCGTTTCAGTGGGGCGTCTGAGCTGCTGCCCACGCCGGCAGCTGAGGAGCCGGACAAGCCTCTGTCCAGTGACAAGCCCGAGGGTGAAGACGCTGCAGATGAAGAGGAGGAAGGCACTGAGCAGACTGGCACTGACGAATCCGGCTTCAAGTGAGTTCGTTGAGCTTTCTCTGCCTGAGCGCGATCCTGTGGTTTGTTTCTTGTGCTTACTCGATTGAAATCCATCCCCTCCCCTCCCCTCCCCAACCCCCCCGCCGCCGCCCTTACCACCTGTCCCCCTTGACGCCATTTTCGCTCGTTATGTTGAACGCTCTACATCGCATTTCCTTTTATCCTCCGTGATTCCATCTGTCTACCGTTGTCACTCCCCTGCCATTCAATGCGTCTCTCGCTCTCCCTGCATACCCAGGCCGTTGCTGATGGACGGTCCCAGCAGCCTGTTCACATCATCAGAGGCAGCGCAAACCGCATGGGTGGCGTTTCAAGAGGAGCAGCAGATGGCAGCAGCAGGTGATGGTGGAGAGGGTAGTGCAGGAATAGCTGAAGGGGCAGAGGAAGTGGCAGCTGAAGGGGCAGCTGAAGGGGCAGCTGAAGGAGCAGCTGAAGGAGCAGTTGAAGGGGCAGTTGAAGGGGCAGCTGCAGGGGAAGGTGAAGTGGCAGCAGTAGAAGTATCTGTTGGAGTTGAAGATTCAGCATCTGAAGTTACAAGAAGCAGTGAAAGTTCTGGTTCTGCTGTAGTCCCTGATGTGGATGTAGCTGAGACGAGCACTGACGAATCTTCTGGGGTTGATACAGCAGAAATCATTGAAGATTCAGGCAGTACTGGTGCTGATGTTGCAGCAGCAATCACTCAAGAATCCAGTGTAGAGTCAGGAAGCACCCAGCAGGCTGTGGACGCCTTTGAGAGTTCCCCCTTAGTTGCAGCTTCCACGCCAGAGGCAACAATTGAAGAAACTGCTGCAGTGCAATCTGACAATGCTCTTGGTACCAAACCAGATGTCACAACTGGTTCACCGACAGAGGCTTCAACAGCCACACTGACTGACACCACTCTAGCTGAAAGCTCATTTGAATCCGCGGCCACTGACACAACAGCACCCGAAGTTCCTGTAGCAGCAGGTGGTGTAGCAGAGGGAAGCTCAGGGGAAATTAGGGGTGCAGGGGAGACGGGTGAAGCAGAAGCAGGGCAGCAAGACACTCAGGGAGGTAGCAGTGAAGGACAGGCAGGAGCAGAAGCTGATAGCAGTGGAGCTGCTGCTGTTGCAGCTGTAGTGTCGACATCAGGAAATGCACTATTGGAGGTCCAACCAGATTCAGCAGATAGGAAGGCGTCTGCTGCGGATAGTGAATCTGTGCAATGAGAAAGCTGTGGAGTTCCATCCTCAAACATGAGTAACTGCAACCTTAATTCTTCATCATGTCATCCATCAGGCTACTGTTTGTTATATCCCATCCCACTAGCATAGTGTTATGCAGCTAGAACCACCAATTGCGTTCCCCCGTTCGTGCTAGCATTCTGTTGTCTGGTGCTGTATTGCGTATTCCAGCAAAGGCACTTGAAGTAGAAAATACTGTCGAAGAGACAGGAGGCAAAATATATTATGACTTAGGTACCTAGGTTCTTATTAGGATCAGAACGCTCCTTTTACCTCAGGGAGCTGAGAATTTTATGACATCTCACATAAAAGTGCTTGCATTGTTTTGGTGCATGTTCTGAAAGTTCACACAGTTGCTAAGAAAATCTGTGCACGTACCAGGGCTGACTTTATCAGACTAAAATAGTCTGATTGTCTGAAATCTCAGGGTATTTTCCTACGGATCCTGATTTTTCAGACTTGTAAGATTTTCAAACATGAGTACCTCAGACTTACCTGGTTTTGGATCCTGAGATTTTCAGACTACTGACTTAACCGATAATGGGTCTTCATACTACAGGGAGTACGGATCCTGAAATGTGGATCTGTAATTTCTACGTACATTCCGCTACCGTACGTCATATGTTGCCAGTGTACGAAGACACTTCATGGCGCTGTCACGCGCAGAATCTGTCCTTGGCTACTTTTGCCACCATTTTCCTTTAGAAATCTGCCAACTTGGCTCGCTCTTTCACTCACGAGGGACCATCATTGCAGCTACCCGGTGTCAGCGAGGGAAACTCTGTGCTGGCGCAGCAAAGTCGGTTAGCGCTGCGCCCCACGTGCTACATTCGTGGCAGTACTGTACTGCAGTGGTTGTAGTGTGTTCTGAGTACTTCAGACTTGTGTTTTTGCGGAACCTGAAAAATCAGAGTAGCCATTCTCTGGGAAATATGCCTCAGACTAAAAAATTTCAGAGCCCCCAGAACATCAGACTGGATTTTTTTGAATAGTCAGCCCTGGCACGTACCGTACATTCAGGAGATAGTGCAAATGCCCCACGGATGCAAAGAAGATCTGCTGGTATGGAATGTGTTCTGTTGTGCAAAGAAGATCTGTTGGGATGGAATGAGTGTGGTTGTCCTTCATGCAACAGGACAAAACATTTCCTCAAAAACTTAGGGATGCAGATTGCGAATGATGGTACCGTATCGCCCCGGATATAACCGCAGGCCTATTAAAAGCGCATGCGCTTATATCTGGAGCAATGCGCTTATGGCCGATCCTCAATTAGAAGCGCACCCCTTATAAAATTGTTACTTATTATAAGCGCACCCTTGTAGTAAAAAAAAGACACTTTGAATACCGTATTGCCCCGGATATAGGCGCATATGCGCCTATAATAAAATCATTTTTTTTAGGGGTGGCGCTTGTAATTGAATAACGGCCATAAGCGCAGGCGCTTATATCATGGCAAAAATGAATTTGTTATTTTTATGTACCAAATCGAAGCCCGCAATAAGGCGAACACAATTGAGTAACGTGCGCGTGGGATAATGCATGTAATCCCGCCGAAAACTGCTGCGTTTCGATTCCCGACCGCACAAATCCCGTCCACGAGCAGCGCACCTGCCAGCGCTGACGTGAAAGTTGCCTTGCGGCCCAATCAGGCTTTCATGCGCTGGCAGGCAGCTGCATTTCACCCGAACCATCGAGAAGGGGCTGGAATGCCCTGTCAGCGCAGCATCTTCGTGCCGCGATAACCTCCTCTCCGGGTTCAGACAGGGGGTACCCGTCTCTCCCCGACGAGGACCCCGAGGCGCTAACCAGAAGGGGTCCCTTTGAATCTCTCATTTGTTCTCCATCTCTCTCAGTTTCTCGTTCGGTTTCTTGGTAGTTCTCGCCTGGCTGCCGCCGCCATGGCGGAATTCAGCGGCACCCACTTCTTGTTCAAGAAAAAGCCTACGCGAAGGCCCGCGTTTAGAGTAGACGCTGACGGGTGGTACTCCCGTATCCCACCAGAACCACCAGAGCCACCACGGCCTCCTGCGCCTCCTGCGCCTCCTCCGCCTCCTGCTCCTCCTTCGCCTCCTGCACCTCCTGCGCCTCCTGTTCCTCCTGCTCCTCCGCCTCTGGGTCCTGTGTCTCCGCAACTCACTGGCAATCAGCCCGTGCTCACGCTACTGCTCCCATCGGCGTTCGACGAATACCTCTCAGAACCGGAGTCTAACAAGGCGCAAGATGAGTACGTGGAAGTGGAACACTTTCCTGGAGGACGTTGGGGACAGCCCGACGATTGCCCTTGGGACGAATCTGCGGTCGGCGCCGACGATGATGTTGCTGACGCTGAGGAAGCGAGCGGCGCTGACGGCGCCGAGGGTGGCACGGAGGCTTCCGCCGGGGGCGGCACCCAGGGCGGCACCGCTGACGATGTGTTTCCAGAAGGTGTTACGGGCGACGCTGATGACGACGGCGTTGAGTACTGGTCACACGACGGGCTACCCGAGAAACTGCCCATACCAACCTATCCTCCGAATAATCGCAAGCGACCCCACCCCTCTTCACAGAACCGTGATGCCCGCCCCCCCTCTCCCAGGCACAAGCTCACCGACCACAAGCGGCAAGGTTACACCGCCGCGGAGAAGTTGAAGTGGGTTGCTCTGATGGACTTGGCGGTGTCGGTGCGCGCCTTGGCTCGCGAGAGCGGAATCCACCGGAAGTGTCTCACCAACTGGAAGCGGACGGTGGAATTCCTCAAGGATGTTCACTCCGCTCGGAAGCGCAGGCACGGCCGCGGGCGAGCGTCGTGGTACCGGCCGATGGAGTTGAAGGTGTACGAGAAGCTACTCGAGTGGCGCCGCAAGGGAACCGCCGTGTCAGTCGGCCGCTTGCAGGAGTGGTCGCGGGAGTTCGTGAAGCTTCTGTACCCGGACAAGAAGTGGAAAGGAAGCCAGAGGTGGTCGGAGCGCTTTCGGCGGCGATGGAATCTGAGCGTCCGCATGAAGACCCGGGTTGCCCAGAAAACCGCAGCGCGTGAGAATTACCCCGTTCAATTTGGCACGTTGTTTTTCTTTAATTGTACTAACGCCCTCCGTCTGTGTCCGACGTCTCTTCCACCGCCGTGCAGATGTCGCTGAGCAGTGCAAGAGCTTCTGGCAGTTCGTGCGTGCCAAGCGTCGTGAGCGCGGCATCGACACCGCGTGGATCATCAACGCGGACCAGACGCCGCTCTGGCTGGAGATGCCCGCCACCACCACCGTGGAGGAAACGGGTGTTCGCTCGGTGCCTATCAGGAGCGCGAGGTATCAGAAGCAGAGAGTGACCGTTATGTTGGCGTGCACGGCGGACGGAAGGAAGCTGAAGCCGTGGGTGTTCTTCAAGCGCAAAACCTTGCCGAAGGGCGATTTCCCTGCCGGTAAGTAAAGAGGTGCACGGCTCGGTCACTGCGTTCTTTTCAGAGTTCGAATTCTAACCACCCGTGCGTGTTTCATGCAGATGTGGCCGTGGCTTGCCACGAGAACGGGTGGATGGACTCCCCTGGCGTCGTTCGCTGGCTTGAGGAGGGCGTGAAGCCGTTCCTGAAGCCTCGGTTCGGCAGACACGCCAAGAGCTTGATGCTGGTGCTGGATTCTTACCGCGGTCACCTCACCGAGGAGGTGAAGGAGAAGCTCCGCGAGATGAACTGCGTGCCGGCGATCATCCCGTCGGGCTGTACGGCGGAGGCACAGCCGCTCGATGTCTGCATCAACAAGAGCTTTAAGGCGTCGGTCCGCCAGCAGTACCAGAGGTGGTTTGAGGCAGAGGGGCAAGAGCAGCTGACGGCAGCAGGTATGGCATGAGTACGGTATCCCCCCCCCCCCCCCCCCCCCGAATTCTTTGTTGTTGCACTAACTGCTTTCCACCGTTCTCCCGTAATGTTTCAGGGAACCTGAAGAAGCCTTCACCAGAGGTCGTCCTGCGGTGGGTATCACAAGCCTGGAAGGCAGTGCCGGCCGACCTCATCAAGCATGCCTTCCTCACCTGTGGCATCAGCAACCAGCTTGACGGCAGTGAGGACGGACTCGCCATGGCGCACAGGCGGAGCCAGCTGACAGCTGAAGTGGATGTCGACGATGACATCATCGCTGATGGTTTTTTTGGCAACAACTGCCAGGAGCCCGAATCTGACGAGAAGTAGGAGGGGTACTGTATGATCCATGTTACCGTAGGTAGAAGTACCCCGGCTAAACTTGTTAGGAGATCTAGCTTAATTTGATGTTGCTTAGAAAAAGTGACAATTTAGTAAAATCTTTTGTAATGCCTCCAATGAAAGGTTAAGGGATGCGCTTATAATAAGGATAGAATTTTCAGGGGGTGCGCTTATAATCGAGTTCCGGCCATAAGCACCATGCTCCAGATAGAGGCGCCGGCGCCTTTAATCGGACGGCGCCTATATCCGGGGCCATACAGTATGTCATTATCGTTAGAGCTAAAGCAAGGCTAGCCTTCAATAGGAAATTTTGCACTACCTAAAAGTTTCACATACAATAGGGTGACTTTTGTCCTAACCTAAACACCATCTTGCCAAGTCTAGCCTTAGGCCTCCACTTCCTCCACATCCGATTCAGGCTCCGTGGAGTTGTTGCCCCAGAACCCGTCTGCTTGGATGTCGTCGTCTACCTCTACCTCGTGGCTCAGCTGGCTTCTCCTGTGCGCCATCACCATATGGTCCTCGCTCCCGTCAAGGGCATTGCTGATGCCGCACGTGAGGAAGGATTTCTTAATCAAGTCGGCGGGCACGGCCTTCCACGCCCGTGAAATCCACTTGAGCACCACCTCCGGGGGTGGTTTCTTGATGTTCCCTGCACCACATGAAAGGGAGTGGGGACATTAGAACACAAGCAGGCAGACAAGCACACGAAGGGGAGACGGGAGGACATGTCCTCGCTCACCTGCAGGTGTCAGGATGTTCATGCCGTTCGCCTCAAACCAGGACTGGTACTGCTGGCGAACACTTGCTTTGAAGC